ATCTCCAAGCAGATGTCGGAATGGATGGTTGTAATTTTTTGTCAGAGATTACAGCAGGCAGTAAACATTGACTGTCCACCCATCATCTGCTTGGTTTTCCACTATGTCTGAATGTGTTACAGTTTGTTCAGTACTGTTTGTTTTTCAACCAACTCAAGTTTCATCACATACATGTAGAAGTTGGTCATGACATACCGATAGGAAGAAATTTTAGGCCATTTTATTCCAATGATGCACAGAAAAGTTTCCAGTTTTGGATACAATTATAACCTTTTTCAGCCATCAGCTGTCTTCTACAAGTAGACTGTAGCTGAGCTAAAGAAGCACGAGCTTACAAGTATACAAGGAGTCTTCTTCACGAATCAATTGGCTACTTGTTGGGCAGTTTTTCTGCTAAGCCTCTGGAGTTTTCCTTTGAAATTGAAGCAAGCCTGGAAGAACTCCAGACTAAACATACAGTAGGGTTTAATCACGACCTCTCTGCCAGGACTAGCGGCTTGTTATCCCCAGATAATTCTGTCATCAAAAAGGACAGGAAGAAGGAAGGAGTTTCTCCAGGCCTAGGCTTAGCACAAGCCAGGAGTTGTGATAAAGCACTTTTTTTTACGGAGTGGTTCAAAGCAAGGCCCATACAACCACTTCTCGGCATTGAACTAGAAATATGAGAGAGACATGGCTATGTCAAGAGATGGCAGTGAACGTTTGATTTGAAAGACTGTAGATTTTAGGTTGGTAATGGTGGGAAACACTTGTCAGGGAGGGAATTCCAAAGCTTGGCTGTACGGGGAAAGAAACTGTCACTGTAAAAACTTTTTGAGTCAGCTGGTGGTTGGTCTTACTCGTGACCATGACAGTCACTTTCCCAAAGAGTTTCTGTTTCGTAAGCCGCATATTTTTATCGCTTTTCCTGGTCCTGTATTTCCTTGTTATCATCGTGACTACTTAATTTTCCTTCTTCCTTATAATTATTTCTGCTTTGCCCATTACGTAGCATTTTGATGACAAGTTGAATTTGACCACATTGGAAGTGGAAGGGCCACAGCTAATATGATGACTAAGCATTGATAGCACTAAATTGAAGTCTACACAATACCAGTATACTAAGATGAATTACTGTTATATACTGATCATACAAAGTGTATCTCTAACATGCATTTGTTTTATATTATTTATTTATTTTAAACTTGGCAAAACAGTTCCCATGCTCCTTAAATGATATTGTAATTTGTATACATGTACATATATAGCTCTACATGTATAAATATATGGCAACCAGACCAATTATAACTTGATCATTCTGTAGATGTCACAGACTCACACTTCCATATTTGTCTAAAAGGAGGTCAGTTTTCCTTGTAGAAATCGTTGACTTCTGAGAATCAGAACCAGGCCATGACAAAGACTTGAGAAATCTCATGTTTGTCTATAACTGAACTTAAATGATATAACTAATTTTTCTTCTCATGTAGCTCTATATGTATACTGTATACATAGCAACCAGACCAATTATTACTTGATCATTCTGTAGATGTCACAGACTCACACTTCCATATATGTCTATAAGGATCTCAGTTTTCTTTGTAAAAATTGGAGATTTCTGAGAATCGTAACCAGGCCATGGCATTTAGGACTTGAGAAACCTCATATTTGTTTATAACTGAACTGAATAAGGAGCTCAGTTTTCCTTGTAAAAGCTGTAGACTTGTCAGAATCGAAGCCAGGCCAATTGGCAAAGACTTGAGAAATCTCTTATTTGTCTGCCAGGATCTCAGTTTTCCTAGTAGAAACCGGAGAGTTATGAAAATCAGAGCTAAGCTGAGCAGTGACTAATTGAGCAATATCATATTTATCAATAGTTATGAGGAGCTCAGTTTTCCTTGTATATACTTCAGGGAGTTTTCAGAGCTAGGCCATGGGAAAGACTTGAGAAGTCTCTTATTTGTCCACCAGGAGCTCAATTTTCCTTGTAGAAACTGGAGAGTTCCCAGAATCAGAGCCAAGCCAAGTGGTGATGACTTGAGAAATCTGTTTCCAACTGTTGCTTTCCTCACACATTGGCATCAAGCCAGCCTGTGGATGCCCTTATATGGGGTTTATATCCTTATATGGGGCTGTCCTCCCCAGTACCAGCCTGTGGATGCCCTTATATGGGGTGTATGTCCTTATATGGGGCTGTCCTTTTCAGTACCAGCCTGTGTATAATGGCTATAATGCCCTTATATGGGGCTGGTGTATGTCCTTATATGGGGCTGTCCTTTCCCAACACAATGAAACGTTCTTCCCGCGTCATGCAATGAAACTTGGCAATGAGCTGTTAGTCAGAGCTGCCTGGGTCAACCTCTACGTCTGTTTAGCTGTAATTCATTTGTAAGGGGCGCATGGCTATGGGGTTGCCAGTGACAGGGTAGCATGTTGAAGGGAGGCGTTTAGTTCCTGTGATAAAAGCTGGGAGGATAGGAGATTACTGTAGAGGCTTACTGTGGGGATTCTGTCAGCAGAGCTGGGTAGGGATGTTCTGGTGGGCTGACATGCCATCCTCATTTAAGGTACTTCAAGAAACATTCACCTCTTTATTTGGGACAAATGTATATATACAATCAAAACTGCTAAATGGACAACCCAGGGGACTGATATAAAATCTTGTCTAAGTGGGCAGGTGGTCATTATAGACAGGATGCTTATTTGCTTGTGTCAATGCCAACAGTTATCCAAGGTATCTTAGTAGAGGTGGTCACGTGTGCAGGTTTGACTGTATCTCGAGAACTGTATGCCTATGGTATGGAAACTGAAGTTCATAATGTTCAATAACAAATTGAAATGTTCTTACATTGGTTTTTTGGTTTAAAGTGACTTTTCAAATATACAGTGATCAATGCTGGAAGGTATCTTTTCAAGACTGTCAAGTGTTGTCTAAGAAAAGCATGTTTTTAATGTGAATAATGGTTCTTGAAGTTGAAGTCTGAAGTTGACTTTTTTGTGAACTGAATAGGGTTACATAGAAACAACGCCAAGTGCACATGACTGAACCCATGTGTTTTTCATGTATTTGCATCCTAAGACAGGTAGAATTTCACCACCCAAGGGATCTGGATATCCTTCCAAGAACCCAATCCTACGTAAATTCTTAAAGATTCCACTTGAACTTGAGAACCTGCCAGGAACAATGTGCGTAAAGAAACCCTGGCACCTGTTTCTGATGTACGAAAAGTTCAGGGGATCGTCATCCTGTAGGTTGAACGTTCCTTGTTGTTTTTAGCATATCCAAACATTTCAAGATGTTGAACTTTAGAAGATGCTATGCTAAGACTGTTTAGATAGCTTCTTGTAGGAGCCAAGATTGTTCCAAGGTTTATAATAAAACCCTGGCACCTGTTCCTGATGTCAGAAAAGTACAAGGAATTTTACCACCTCTTGCACTTCTTCATGTTTTTAGCAAACTTAAACATTTGAAGATGTTAGCTTGTGAACTTGAGAAGTTGCTAAGCTGTTGAGATAGCTTGTTGAGAGGAGCCAAGATTGTTCCCAGGTTTGTAATGAAAATGTTCAGGGCATTTTACTGCCCTGTGTGCTCCTTGTAGTTTTTAACATATTCAAACATTTCAAGATGTTGAAGTTGAAAAGATGCCATGCTAGTACTGTTTAGATAGCTTCTTGTAGGAGCCAAGATTGTTCCAAGGTTTATAATAAAACCCTGGCACCTGTTTCTGATGTCAGAAAAGTTCATGGGATCATCATCCTGTAGGTTCCTTGTTGTTTTTAGGATATTATCCAAACATTTCAAGATGTTGAACTTGAAGTTGAAAAGATGCTATGCTAGGACTGTTTAGATAGCTTCAATCAAGGATCCAAGATTGTCCTAACGTTCGCACCTGTTTCTGATGTATAAAAAGTTCAGGGAATTCTACCACCCTGTGCGGTCCTCATGAAAGGCCTCTTGTTTCTAGCGCATTCAAATGTTTAAAGATGTTTTCTGTCAACTCTATACTAAAGATGGCACCAAGGAAGCTTGAGTTCAAGAGAGCACAGCTCTACAACGTTTCTATTGTTCAGATTCTTTCATAATGTTTACATCAAGAAACATTGTTTGGGAAGATGCCAAAGCCATTAAGGTTGAGATTGGTGAGAAGTTGCCAAGAAGTCTTGGAGAGTTCACAAACGCACCTGTTTTTCATGTTAGGATCAGGGCATTGTGACTTCCTGTTCTTCTAAGATTTCTTAAATGTTTCAAGACTTCTTCCCCACACCCAGTAGGTGGGTGGACTACTGTATCCGGTGTGTGGTTAAATGGTGCTAGATCATTTGGCTACCCTTTGACTCTGAGAAGATGACTAAACCATCAAAGATAGTTTCAAGTTGCCAAAAAGTTTCCAAACTACTCAAGGAAACTCGTGTGCCTGTTTCTGATAAACTGAAAGTTCATGATACACAGGAAACGGAAGTGAAACTTCGTGGAATTATTCCATTCACTGCGATATCCCTTCCAAGGAGACTTCCTGTTTTTATAATTCTTCCTCAACTGAGCTGTGAAGCTTGATGATTTAGAGTAGAAAGTAGAGAAGAAATCCTTGCCACAAATTAAAGTAGGACATCCTTGCTGATAACTTCACCCAGATGCACAAGGTGTGACAGGTCGTTAAGTGTAATAAAACCAGCTGCTGCCGTGTGACGTGCCTGTGAATGTTATGCCAAAGGGCTGTTCTACCAGCTATACAGATACATTTACAGGAGCTGGTGTGTTACACTGAAGGCAGTTTACCAGCCGGCTGTACAGATACAGAAGCTGGTGTGTTCCACTGAAGGCAGTTATACTGGCTATACAGATACAGATACAGAAGCTGGTGTGTTATGCCAAGGGGCAGTTATACCAGTTGTACAGATACAGGTACAGAAGCTAGTGTGTTATTTGCCAAAGGGCAGTTCTACCAGCCGGCTATACAGATACAGATCCAGACTCAGTACATTCTGTAATTCTAACCTGGTGTTTCCTTCTTGTGTGTCTACAGGGTGAGAACAGTCGAGAGTGGGGAGAGGAGAAGGAGGATGGAGTCATCTACACAGTCAGTCTGAAGAAGGTTCGACATCAGACCACAACCACTTCTCTACAGGTATGCTGGCCATGGGTCCTTCTGCTAAATATTTACAGACACAAAATTCATCTGTAGTGGTAAATTACATTATTAACAAAGGACTGAACTTAACAAGATTTCAGATTTTAGTACGGATAATCATGTAAAGTACAGTCCTTTGTATCATCATCATTACATGTATCATAAAACGGTGAAAACTTTTGTGTGTCCTTTTGCCTTGCCCTTTACCAGTGAATAAATGAATAAACTTAAAAGGGAGAATGTTGAATATGCAACATGCATCATCATCAATATTTGCAAGAGATTTTTAATGTGAATTCTGAATTGTTCACAAATCACTGTAGATAACACACAATTGAAAATTGTTGTCTTTTCCCAGTCTGACAATGAGGAAGGAAAGGTACAATAGTTTCTGAGATGAAGAATGATAGAACAGCAGTACTGTAGTGCTGTTTTTGTTGAGAAAGCATGATGAATACAATTTTAAAGATCATGACTTAAATTTTAAAATTGCTATTTAAAAAAAAATCTGAAGTAGCAAGATCACATGGTGTGTGTTTTTTTTTCTTATTGCACGAATTTTACATAATCTAAAATAACACAACATGAGATTGACACAGTTTTTTTTTAGGTAGACTAAAAATTAGGACTAAATGGTTAACAGCTTAGAGTAGTGACAATTTTTTTCTGTACTAACCTGTCAGCATGGTGTTCTCTTGCAGAAACTAACTCACGGGGAAAATTGGTTTCAACCTCTACAGTGGGAAACGATGAAGCTTCGCACGCTGAAGGCGGGAACTGTGGAGAGACTGGTGGAGAACCTGGCACCTGAGGATGTGGAGGACCAGGACACCAACTCCATGCACCTCAACGTGTTCCTGGCTACTTACCGGGCCTTTACCACAGCTGACCAAGTCTTAGATATTCTCTTTAGAAGGTAAGGGTGTGGTCTATGCATTTCGCAAAGGAGTTAGTACATGTTTATGTTAAACAATTGAATAAAACAAAACTCCATGCACCTCAACGTGTTCCTGGCTACTTGCCGAGCATTCACTACGGCTGATCAAGTCTTAGATATCCTGTTTAGAAGGTAAGGATATGGCTTAGGTACATGTGGTTGGCACTTGTGTATGTAAAACAACTGAATAAAACTCCATGCACCTCAACATGTTTCTGGCTACCTACCGGGCATTCACTACAGCAGACCAAGTCTTAGATATTCTCTTTAGAAGGTAAGGATCTCCATTAGCAAAGGAGTTGGCACAAGTGTATGTAAAACTTTTGGAAGTTCAGTAAATCAGTCATATAAAAAACAATCGAGTAAAACAAAACAGGACACAAACTTCATTCACCTCAACGTGTTCCTGGCTACTTGCCGGGCATTCACCACGGCTGACCAAGTCTTAGATATTCTGTTTAGAAGGTAAGGATGTGGTTTAGAGGTTTAAAGCTATTTTTTAGCCATTTGGAATATGTAAAACGATGGAATAAAACAAAACTCCATGCACCTCAATGTGTTCCTGGCTACTTACCGGGCTTTTACCACAGCTGACCAAGTCTTAGATATTCTGTTTAGAAGGTAAGGATGGGATTTAGGCATTTAGCAATGGAGTTGGCACATACACAAGGAAAATGTTACTCAAACGACCGGGTAGATCTTGAAAACTGTCAGACGTTTCAAGTACTGTACATTGTAGCATCCACAACTTTGTCTGACGAAGTGGATGCCATTTGAAACATCTGACAGCTTTCAAGATCTATCCAGTTGCTTGAGTTTTCATTGTGTATCACACTACCTGGATGTCTAACTTTCATAGGTGTGAGTTGGCACATGTATCTATATGAAACATTTGATTGCTTAAGTGTTTTAACAGATTTTTGTGGATTTCTTTTTCAGATACAAAGAATATAAAGAATGTAGAAGAAGAGGAGAAAATGGAAAGGACAGCAGACATGATGTTTGTAGGTAAGGGAGAGTTCTTAATATATATTTAGCTTGACATGATTCTTTTTAGTGGTAAGAAGGCCCTCTAGCTGAAGTGTACAGTACTGCAGCTCTGTTGTCTCTGTGCAAATCTACATCCAATTGTTATCTTCCCCAGAATAATCCAGTCAGTGCTGTGTATCTGGATGGACATCTACCAGGATGACTTTGACTGTATAGTTTAGTATTGTTGGTTCTGTCATACTGGCTGCAAAGCATTCCCTCTAGCTTTAGTCTACAGTACTACAGCTCTGTTTTTATCTTCCCCAGAATAATCCAGTCTGTGCTGTGTATCTGGATGGACATCTACCAGGATGACTTTGATGAGCCGCCTGCATACCGGCTGCTGCACCGCGTGCTGGAGTTCGCCGAGGCTCAGATGTCGGACGGGGAGCTGGCGCGACAGACCAGACACAAGCTGGACAGACTCCGCAGGAGCCAGGCACTCAAGTCACAGCAGAAAGTCTCAGGTAGGGGAACTCTGTACATGTATAAGAATATGTATAGGAAGGTTCTTTATCCAACAACCAGTGGGTTTTTATATCCCAATGTTTCGACGGCTGTCTGTCACCTTCTTCAGGGCAACAATGACTGGATTTGATTCGTAGTTTTGTACTGCTATATTACAACAGTTACTGGAATCCCAAACATAGAGTGTTGTCCCATAATATACATTGAATGTACACATACTGTCAAGCACAGTAATGATAGATAAGTTTCAGTTCTGAGTATGTGACTACACAATAATCAAATGCTTTTTCTGTGACTGTTGCATCATGGCTCACAGTTATCATACTGTGCTACCTGAACTAATATCCCACCGTCATGTACAAACATGTAGTGATAGTACTGAATACTGTTGCAGGGGCCCTTGACACAAGTTGGATTTAAGTAATGATTTAAGAGCTATGTGTAATAAACTATGTAGTAACAAAGCCTTGTCCATTCCTATCTGCAGTGCCCAATGGTCACCACCTGACCAGCAGTGAGGATGTGTTGTTCATCGAGAACTCAGACCCTGACCAGCCCCTAGACTTTGACACCATCTCTGTACAGACCATGGCAGATCAGCTCACCTACATGGATGCGGTTAGTTTCAACTTTTCTGGAGTTTTATGTTTTTTTATGAAACTTTGGGAATCAGTTTTAAACTGATAGCAACATGTAGAGTCTGACTTGGTGCAAAAAGCTCAAGTTCCATTTCGAAGATATGGATATCCTTTGAAAATATGTTTTTCTTTGCTAGTGAAGCCTTACTTTAAGGAGTTGTTGATGCAGTCTATCTTGTAGAATGCCTTTTCTGTACTGATGTTCAGCATCTCTTCCCTTCACCTTGTACCTTAATGAGTTTTTGCTACTTTTTCAAAACTTATTACTTTCTACTTGAGTCTATAATTTCTTGAATCTAGAATTTCTAACTCAAACTTAATATTTTAAATTTTTTTCCAGGAGTTGTTTAAGAAAGTCGTGCCTCATCACTGCCTCGGCTCTGTCTGGTCCCGGCGCGACAAGAAGGGCAAGAGCACGACAGACGCTCCGACGGTCAAGGCCACCATCGCTCAGTTCAACGCCGTTTCGTTCCTGGTGATTGCCACCATCCTGAGAAACACCTGCAGCTCTACAGAAGACAGGGTCAGGATCATCGAGAAATGGGTAGATATAGCACAGGTATGTCTTTGGCAGTTTTTTTAGTGCCATGAGAATCATTGAGACTCTCAAAATTAGATCTGACATCTACAGAAGACAGAGTTATTAGGATTATCGAGAAGTAGGTAGATGTAGCACAGGTATGTATGTTTCAGTTAGTGTTTAACTTTTGTATGGGTGACAATATGTAAAATGTGGCTTGTTTCTTACCATTTTCTCCCTTTTACCGTTTCTATTTCTTGAAACAGTTTAGGAAATGTGCAACAAAAAACCACCTACCTAAAAAAGTTCACAAGGAAATTTTGTGGAGAAGTGTTTCTTTTACCAAAAGCTGTATTTGGAATCAAGCTATCCTTGAATCAGTAGTTATGAAACTTTTGATAATGTATTTTATTGTATATTATTAATGTATAATGCTGGAAGATTTGACCAATCTCAATAATGTTATGCTAGGTATTGGTGCGCCAGCCACTTTCATTTTATGTAAATGCTATACTTTATGTCATCTTTATGTTTACATTTGTATTATGTTTTATGAGCAGCGGATTTACATAAGCACAACAAGTGCTTCCTATCCAATGCTCAAAAATCCATGTGAATAAAATAAATAAAATAAATGTATTTCAAAGGCCATAGAAAAGGAGCCAGTCCCTGCTTTGGGACTTTCAAAATTAACTTAACCTTCTCCCTACTGCCCATTGCTATAACCAATATAAATTTGGTGCCAGATGGCTACCCTAGCCTGCTGAAGGTTAACGTTTATTATTAGTGCTATAACATTGTTTCCTTTGCCATGTTGTCCACAGGAGTGTAGAATTCTGAAGAACTTCTCTTCGCTGAAAGCCATCATCTCTGGTCTTCAGTCCAACCCCATCTACAGACTGTCAGAGACATGGGCAGCTGTCTCAAAGTAAGAAACCTACTTTTCCTATTCAAAGGCAATTTAAAGTCAGCTACTGGATGAGTTACGGAGACTACTTCTGTTTTGATTGATGACATCATTCACTCTTCTTCAGCATCACAAAAATGAACTGACAGGATTTACATCTAAACATTTCCTCTGCGTACAATTTTTTAAAGCCAGTCTCTACCGAGTTGAGTCAATGGACCTATCACATTATTACGTCACAGTTTTTTATCTGTTCTAAAGAATATTCTAGAACGGTCAGTTAAAGAATAAAGATCATTTCAAAGTCAGGTATGTTTGATTTTTGCTGCGTCTAGTTTTGTTGACACAGCATCACATGCTGTAATGTGTGATTTAGTTGTGACATTAGATGAAAGTAGTACTGTATTAAAAGCTATATTAAGGCTCACGCTACACAAACACACACCGTGCTACGCACCCCTGTACAATATACAACGTTGATTGACTGGCATTCATTGCGGTAAACAAACTGTGATGTAATAATATAATAATGTGATAAGTCCATTGTCCTACAGTCTACTTCATGCTGAAGCATCTTCAAGAGACTTGAGTTTGTTATAACGTACTTGCCTCAGACTTGTATCGATGTTGTTTGCTTCCCCAGGGAAAAGTCAGAAGAGTACGAGGAACTATGCACGATTTTCTCAGAAGAAAATAACCAGATGACGTGGAGAGAGATCCTGGTCAAGGTGTGTACGGTTTTTGTGAAATTTTTTTGTCATAACAGCGTCTTTATACTACTAACTAGAAAGCTAACCACAATGCAGAAATCCCACAAGTTTGGTTTATTCAAGATGAAGTTTTTTTTCCAATACTGTCGGTTTCCAAACGAGTCAGAGTGGTGGTTATCCTTAAATACAGGAAATAGAAAACATGGTTGTCTTAAAAATAAAATGAAACTTTTTGTCTTGTTTCAGGAGGGGACGGCTAAGTATGCAGACACGAGTAGTACAAAAGTGAAGCATGTCAGAAAAGAGAGCGCGCAGAAAATACAGGCCCAGAGATTATCGGTAGGTGCTTCTTCTTCCTATTTCTTCAATCTAGTCTAAGTACATGTAGCATCAAAATTACAGAATTTCATACAGATCGCTTATTGGTTGCTGCAGGGTATGATGCAGGGCACTTTACCATATTTGGTATTACAGAATTTTATACTGATTGCTGATTGGTTGTTGCAGGGTGTGATGCAGGGCACTTTACTCTCATTTGGTGTTAAAGAATTTTAAAGTGATTGCTGATTAGTTGTTGCAAGGTTTGATGCATAGCGCTTTAACATATTTGGTATTACAGAATTTTACACTGATTGCTGATTGGTTATTAGAAATCAATTGTGATTGCTGATTGGTTAGTAGAAATCAATACTGATTGCTGATTGGTTGTTACAGGGTGTGATGCAGGGCACAGTGCCATATTTGGGGACGTTCCTGACAGACCTGATGATGCTGGACACGGCCATGCCAGACACAGTCGACACCAACCTCATCAACTTCGAGAAGAAGAAAAAGGTGTATTGTCTTTTCTTCCCACAATTTGAGATATAACCTTCTACCAGCTGCCTAACCCACTAAACAAAAGATAATTGGGGGTTAGTTGGCTACCTCAGTGTGCTTAGGGTTGAATGAGTAATTTGGTTTAATTTGATTTGATTTAACTTGATTTATTGAAATTGCAACAGTGGGACACAGGCACCTGTGTCCCACAAATACAACACAGACAATGCTCATTTTCACTTGAGTTAAGTAGGGAAAGTCGTGTTTAGTGCCTTTCCCAAGGGCAGCACAAGATTGGTGGCATGTCAGAACTCGAACCCTGGACCTCTTGGTTCCAAGTCTAGCACTCTGCTGTTACGTCAAAACATTTGTTAACATTAGTAATCATTCTTACCTTTCCTTACCTGGTTTTATTTCCCGTTGACAGGAGTTTGAGGTGTTGGCACAGATCCAGCTCCTTCAGAAGACAGCCCAGAACTACAACATCGTCCCTGAGCCTAGCTTTAAGGCCTGGTTTGACAGTGTGGAGCATCTCAGATACGAGGAAAGGTAGGAACCATAGAAGCTTGAAAGTTTGTCTGTGTTGGTAGAAATCGCACTGAAGTTTAAGTTGAACCATAGTTTCTAGCAAAAAACGTGGGCTTACCCAAATTTTCAACAGCCCAACTCCAGTCTTTGTCAAGGAATGAGCAATCCACCGCCTCTGTGATATTATACATTACAGAATTAGAACAAAATTCAGTGAGCAGTGGATCATAGGTTGTATCTTAAAAATGATAGTTGTTCGCAATCGACTGGTTCTCTGTTACTAGTTTCTTGTATGGGTTCTGCATTGGAGAAAGAAAGAAAGAAGACAGCTGTACATTCTCAAGGGACACTACACTGGAATTTATTGTTCGATGATTGATATTTTCGTCTTTCCCCAGTTCCCGCCTGTCATGTGAAGTCCAGCCCCTGTCAGACTCCATGTCTCCCCCCGCCCAGTCCATATTTACTGTTTGATGACAGACATGAACCTTGTGTTACAGTTACCGCCTGTCGTGTGAAGTCCAGCCCCTGTCAGACTCCATGTCTCCCCCTGCCCAGTCCATATTTACAGTTTGATAACAGTATGAACCTTGTGTTACAGTTACCGCCTATCGTGTGAGGTCCAGCCCCTGTCAGACTCCATGTCTCCTCCTGCCCAGGGCAGCCGCAAGGAAAGAAGTCTCAGGAAGAGAATAAGCAGGTAACACACTTACACGTGATTTGTAGTCTATGGGATGACCAAGGCCCAAGGATTGAAGATATGGCCTCTTTTATGCAAGGTGGACACTGCCCACTTGGCTATAAGTTGTATAATTTGTATCATGCATTGTCATTACCACTAGAGGAAGATATATGTAATAACAACAGGACATGACCGCCTTTAAGCTTAAACTGGATCATTGCTGATTATCTGTGGTTGTTCTCTAGATTGTTCAGCACAAGTGACTGGGAGACGAGTAGTGCCAACTCCAACACGTCCCAGTCTGAGGACAGAGTCAGCGAAACCAGCATGCCTGACTCTCCGGACAGTCTCGTGCCAGAGAAGGTACGTTTAGTCACTTGTGCTAGTCACTTGTGTGCGTGCGATTGCGTGTGTGTGTGCATGTGTGTGTGAGCGCGTAGAAGTAGACTTAACTTGGGTCGATTTTTCTTGTCATCCCAATGTTAAATATTTCCACAACTAGAGCTTGGAATAACTTGAAATCCAGCAAGCTAGATGGTCAGTACATAAGTCTTCTTTGTGAGAAGTTTTTTATTTTTATTTTGTGAGATACAGGAAGAGATTTGACAGGTACAAAGTCTTAAGGAAACTTTTTAATGACGGTGATTTTTATTGTGATCGACAGATGTCAGCCTCCTCCTCGTCCTCTTCGCTGACGTCCCTTGAGATGTCGACTTCACCGTACAAGAACTACGACTCGTCCAGTAACTGTGTCATCCGAGTCAGTCTGAGCGGGGAGTCGGACAACATATACAAGAGTGTGCTGGTAAGTTTGCTCGTGACACAGTTATCATCTTGATATGGAACAATACTATGAGGTTTAGTTATATAAACTGCATTCTAAAGAGAGAAAAAAATTGGTATGATTGTGCTGGGAGACTTTTGTGGTATCATAATTTCTGTCATACCTTTTGAAGTTGCATTTTCCACATGCCTTAGTGACTTAACCAATCAAAAGTAGCCCAAATTCCATTTTTGGCATTCTTAGTTTTTGGAAAATTGAAAAAGCAATGTCTTTAGTGCCATTGATTGTAACAGTTGATAATGTCCTCAGCTCACCCACCAAGACCACACACCCGGGGTGATCAAGAGCCTGATGAGCAAGTTTAACCTTGATGCCGAAGAAGCTGAAGAATACAAGCTGGTCCAGAAGCTGCCTGATGGAGGTAGGTAGTAGGGGGCCTTGGGTGGCACTTCTTTTACATATTCTGTGCAGGCAACTGTTGAAAATGTTTCAGAATGGATTAAAGAACCCTAAGTTGGATTGAAACGATTTTTGGGACATTTTTCTTGGAAACTAGAGAAGAACGTACAGTGTAGTGTGATTGTGGAAAATTCCATTCCTTTTTTAAAGTAGTCTACATTCAAAACCAAAATGGCATTGAACATTGATGATTGACACTAGATCTATTTTTGCAGTGTACTCTTGCAGTGCCGTGTAGATTCACTAGATGGCACTGTTGAGTTGTACCTTTTCCGCCACTGATACAAGTTTTTGTTTCCCATCCAGAATTGCAGATTCCCGATCACGGTAACTGCTTCTACGCCATCAACCAGTCCGTAGAACCCAACTTCATCTTGAGAAAGAAGTCGGAAGAAGGGGAGCTGCACAGAAAGTCCAAGAAGCGTACGACCTTGAGAAAACTCATGGAGGTCGTTTCAACTCAGACTTAGAACTTCTTGTACCAGACGACTTCTTTGTTTAGAGATGGGAGGAGCTTGTGACTGAATCACAAGTGAAACCTTTGGTAACCCTGGAAGTGTGATTTCTCAAAAGTTAGTCATACGTGAGCCGCGCTGGTTATGTAATACCGGACAAAAATATCTTTACAATAACCAGGAAAAGACAATATATTCTTATGTGGTCTTGTTGGCTGTCTTTCAATGCAATGTCTGGTGGCCAGTATTTTGTCAAGAGATTTTTGTGCAACACGAGTCAAATTTGTATAGTGTGTTGCTGACCAAGTGGAAAAGAAAGTGTTTTGTATGTCTTTGTAAAACTTTGAACTTTCTGCAAAATATTTGTCAAATCTTTTTAGCTTTTAGTAATATTTAGCTACTTTAGCACCATCTTTCTTCTTCTGTTTGTCTTTAAGTCTTATCTATGCCTTAAAGATTTCTATGTGTTCTTCTTGTGTATCTGTTTGCCAGGGAACTAAGTTCACTGGATGTCTGGACTTGCTGTTGACCTCTGACATCAGGTCATGACCTTTAACACTAGGTCATGACCTAGGTTGTGATGTAAATATTTACATTACTGACCCTTTCTCTTGTTTTTACTGTATATGCTGCATATTTTTGCCGTTCAAATATAGTTCTGTGCCAACCTGTATATTAAGCACTATTAAATGATGCAAGAATACTAAGAATGGTGCCTTTCTGCAATAGCACCAGAAAAGCCATTGAAATTAAGACTTTATTATTATTATTAACTGCCATTTCATGAGAGCCATAGTAACAATGATGAAGGAAATGTTATTGTATAGTGGTGGTCCTTGTAAAGATAATGTATATTATTGTCAAGTCAAATTGAAATTGCAAGGTGCAACAACAGATGTAATATTCTTCTAACGTTGTTATATACTACTTGTATTATGCATGTAAGGCACACACAGATTTTTCATCATCATCTGAGAAAGAAACCCACAATGTTCCTCTGTATTGCAAGCATAGCCATATTTTAATTTTAAAATTCTTTCAAACACTTTGTCCACTGCTCAGATTACAATGCAAGCAGACTAACTGGTACACTTTACCATCAACTGTTTGAAATAGACACTTTTTAGCCACGTTGTTTCTAAGGGACCAGCGACATGATGTGGTCTTACATATGGTGGAAAGGAAAAAAAAACACTGACAAAACAGATTCTCTCAAAGATACTGGTTTGGAGACTTGGATTTAAAAACAAGTGCAATTAATGGAATGACTCAAATCAAGTTGACTGACCGAGAGTTGTTTAATTTATCAATGCAATTGTAAATTTTTGTTCTGTAGTAGTCATTGTCCGTGTGCCTTTCTCTGTTTTTTATCTCCATGTGGAACACGGAGACAGCAGTCCTGCTACACTGGCTCAAGTACTTGAAAAACGAAAACAGAAAATAAACACCTTAAAGTCAACTGCCAATTAGAGTTGAAAATCTAGAAATTTTAGACAGTACATTTACCTGGTAGTACTATCCAAGCAGAGGTTTGAGCAATTGTTCTGATTTGTACCAGTTTTCTAACCTAAAGCGATTGACTGTTGGAAAATTGGTTTTGAAGATTGTGACTTCTCTTTTTTCAACCTCTGCTTGGAGAGTAGATACATGTAGTTCTGATTGGATAATTCAGAGACTTATGTCTTGCTCAGAACTGTTTTGTTCTTGTGTCCTAAGACAATGTTGCCTCTACCTGGCTTCGGGAAGCGGCTGGAAAGAGTAGAAAACGGCCAGATAGAAAGATAGCATGCCAAGGGAGTTGGTCTGCTAGAGAGAACAGTTTGGCGCTCCCGAAGGCATGCTATCTCTATCTGGCCGATTTCTACTCTGTCCAGCCGCCTCCTCAAGCCTGGTAGAGGCTAAAGACAATGGTGTGCAGCTTGTAAGTCAGTTAAGCTGCCATCAATTGAACCAGTGTATATTAAAGCAGTGTTGCCTCTGTGTTCTAGAAAACTGTTGTCAAGTACAGAAGGTCTTCCCTTTAGCTTTGAAGGAACCGTAACACGTGGAACAAAGTACACTGATGTTTCTTACAAGAGTTTGAAGAATGAACAAAAGTTTGTACGACAAGAGAGATTATATTTCCTGAAGATTTATTTGTTGTTTCGTACATGGATGCAGTAGCGATAGCCAAATATTTGTACGAACAAAAAGATGTGTTGAGGTCACACCAATTTGATTTCTTGGAATTTTGCACAAAACAAGTGAAGAACAATGAGGAAACTTCTGATACCCAAATAATTCAAAGAAAGACCATTGAACATCTTGCAATTAAACATAGATAGATAAAAACTTCAGCAACTAAGATTTTATTCAACTGTTGGCACCAAAATGTGAGCATTTTTATGTTGACATGTAACTGTGTTAACGTTAACCAAAATTGTACCTGTCAACTTTTTTCTTCTTTCAAATTGAACAATTGTAGTGGGCAAAGCAGATTACCAAGAAGTTAATATGGTGTGACCTAAAGCTCACATGAACAAGAGTCATGAACAAAACTTTACAAATTAAGATATTGCAGAGGTTTGACCAAGAATGTTTTGGAACGTCTCTCTTACACACAAAATTTCTCAGATTTTGGCCATGTAGCTTCATCTGTGAGACTTCTGTTGTCATATATGGATATTGATTGTATATAAATAATAAAAGTGCCAATAAATGTATTTATCTTGAGATTACATGGTTGCTTTTTTGTCCTTGTTTGTGAATATATGAATGACTTCCTATTTTGTATGTAGTGTGATGACTGAGTACCTCTTTTACACCACATGGGGTTGCCTCTTTCTATGAAGGCTCATTAAGTTATCGTTACCAAATCTTAGAGACTGGATCTTTACTTTCTGATACAACAATCTCCATGGTGTTTCAATAGATATAGCGTTATAGTTGTTGGCATCGCTGGCTAAAGCTTTGACGCGGTTTGTACCAGAAATACGATGTTCAAAACATTTATTATGCATCAAACTCTGAAGAAAGGACAAGCTCTGGTTTATATACCAACGAACTAGCATTCGAAGGAACTAGCATTCGAACGAAGTAACATTCGAACGAAGTGACAATCGAACGAAGTACCGTACGAATGGGTCCTGCCCATTTCAGGGATGGGGGGTGATGCGCATGTAGTCTTTTCCGGAAGGTAGCGGGATCCTGGTCACCCCCTTCGGGAAACGGGTGGGCTCTTCCTTCGTTGGGATGCTGGGTACGACCATGACGTCATCCCCCGGCTGAGGGTAGAAAGATAAGTGAATGGGACGGTAAACGAACAGTAAATGCATCTTTATATTGTCAAGAAACGGCTTTAGCTTTACATATTAGAATTACCACAACGAAACCTTGGGCCCTTTCTCGGGATCCCAGCACCGTCCCTGTCCTTGGTGCTGAATTCCTACATGCATAACGTTAAGCCATCCGCTCCTAAGTAGCCCTGTCCTTGGTGCTGGATTATTTTCCGGTCTTTTTGTATAGCGTTCTTTGTTCGAGCTGCTACTTAAAAATTCCCATTATAAATCTGATATTTTCAAGATCGATTTCTTTCACACAGTTGGATCCCGTCCATTTCTAAATGCTGAAAACTTCCTATGCCACGGTGATATGAAAATGCTAGGATAGCATGTATTGTAAAAGATGATTTGTTGGACTACCCTTGCTCACCTTCCAGTCCGCGGGCGTGCCCACCACCCACGACTCCACCATAAAAAGCGAGTCGATGGACCGCAGGATCTCCCTGGAAAAGATCGAAAAATTCGACCGTATTCATTCGTTTGAATGCCGGTTCGTTCGAATGCTTAGAATGTCGCTTCGTTGGAATGCAGCTTCGTTAGAATGATGTTTCGTTAGAATGCTGCTTCTTACGAATGATATTTAGTTTCTGACTTCACGCCCATATGCACAGATTTAACAGTGAAAATCCACTTATGTTATATAACTTTAAATGCTATCTTGTCAGCCGAAGAAGAACAAGAAAATGATCTTACTCGAAGTTGTGTCCGCAGCTTGACGGGTAGATCAGGGACATGCGCAGTCTCTTGTCGGGACCGATGACGAAGACCTGAAAAGACAGGCTGGGTTGTCATCTTTCCTTGCAAAGGTATGAAACAGTTTCAAAGTTTGAAGCTGTTTTAAATTCAAATGTAACCTTATACATTTGTCTATATGCAGAGGCAAAAATTATGTACTCGTAGTCTATCCTGTAAACGTTAGTTTCCAAGGTTTTTTAGTCATAGAGGTGAGATTTTTACTCCTTTTTTTTCATTTTACACAATTCTGCAGTAGAACGTAGCGGTAAGCATGTCCCTCACAGCGCGACAGGTGATGGGCAGTGTGACGTCGTTCGGCTGGTCCTGGTCGATCAGTCCCAGCGCCTTGGCGATCTGCCGGCCCTGGTCCGCCACAAGCCGGATGGGGAAGTCTCCCTCGATACCTGCGTTCGTCTTCACGTCCTGTCGCCAAAAAAGATTAAGAAATTTATTTAGTGGATATCACCTGTGGGAAGCGAGAGAAAGGGTTGGACAACTCGCTCTAAGGCAACGACAGAAAAATACACACAAAAAAAACTAGAAAGGTAACATTTGAAAAGCATACGAATTATGCTAATGATCACATGATCTGGCCAACAAAGTAGTGCTCTGTTTATTCATCATCATCTTGTTTAGTCTTACTCAAACAGTTTCATATACAGTATATGGTGACCAGCCCCTCAAACTCTATCCTGACACTTGCTACATAATGTAATCCAACACCACAAGGTGTCTGCTACAGCACCAGCCGCCATGGTGACAGCCGTCTGGTCCAGGTCACTGACCTTATTTGTTTGGAACAGAGAAAGATCAGGAAGAAGAAAAAACGGAGCAAAAATGCTGTGTTTTCCTTTTACGAAGGAAACATAAAAAACAAACAAACAGACAGACAAACAAAGGCCATTTCCAGATAAGTGTAAACAAACCCTACCTCAACCCAGTCCTTGTTGCTGTCTCCATCGTCGCAGGACAGAGCCAACATCTTCACGCCGCGCTTAGCGAACTCCGGCGCCAACTGAGCCGCCCTTCCGAGCTCTGTGGTGCAGATGGGAGTGAAGGAGCGAGGGTAGGAGAACAGCACGGCCCAACTAAGGAAGGAAGGAAGGAGTGAATGAGTGAGTGAGTGAGTGAGTGAGTGAGTGAGTGAGTGAGTGAGTGAGTGAGAGAACTCCGGAGCGAGCTGTGCCGCCCTGCCGAGCTCCGTGGTACAGATGGGCGTGAAGGAGCGAGGGTAGGAGAACAGCACGGCCCAACTGAGGTAGGGGGAAGGAATGAGTGAATGAATGAATGAGTGAAGGAATGAATGAGTGAATGAGTGAAGAAAGGAATGAATGAGTGAACTCCGGAGCGAGTTGTGCCGCCCTGCCCAGCTCTGTGGCGCAGATGGGAGTGAAGGAGCGAGGATAGGAAAACAGCACGGCCCAACTGGAGTAGGGGAATGAATGAATGAGTGAATGAATGAGTGAATGAATGAGTGAATGAATGAGTGAATGAATGAGTGAATGAATGAGTGAATGAATGAGTGAATGAATGAATGAGTGAACTCCGGAGCGAGTTGTGCCGCCCTGCCGAGCTCCGTGGTGCAGATGGGCGTGAAGGAGCGAGGGTAGGAGAACAGCACGGCCCAACTAAGGAAGGAATGAGTGAGTGAGTGAATGAATGGATGGATGGATGGAGGAATGGGTGAATGAATGAATGAATGAATGAGTGAACTCCGGGGCGAGTTGTGCCGCTCTGCCCAGCTCTGTCGTGCAGATGGGCGTGAAGGAGCGAGGGTAGGAGAACAGCACGGCCCAACTGGAGTAGGGGAAGGAGTGAGTGAATGAACGAGTGAGTGAGTGAGTGTGTGTGTGTGAGTGTGTGTGAGAGTGAGTGAGTGAGTGAGTGAGTGAGTGAGTGAGTGAGTGAATGAAGAAAGGAAGGAAGGAAGAAAAAGCCTCTGCCGGTACGAGAACAGCAATGATCATCTGAAGTTGGATGAACAAATAAATGAGTGAGTGAAGGATTGACTGACTGCATCAATGAATGAATGGATGGATGGATGGATGGATGGGTGAATAAATCAATGATTGCTTCTCTATCCTGAAAGTTTCGATGTTCGTCCGAATAAAGACTCTATAAGATAACCTGAGTGTGTTATAACTGAGAGTTTTATAACAGAGTGTGTTATAGATATCTAAACACTTTGTAGACTCAACATTGTGAGTGGGCGTATTCAGCTTCTTTCCAATTTATTTTGTTCATTTCAGCTGACTTCCACTCTAGCCAGAACCATGACGCAGCTGCAGAGGGATAATGAACCTAGATCAGGCCGCTTCCGTTGGGTTACAATGATACCGATTGACGATACCTCCGTTGTGTAAGGTAGCTCATTAAAAACGGGAAGTCAGGGATAAAAATATCGCTTGTGACGGCTACTTCATATTTCGCAAGCGCTATTTGCTAAACTCTAGATCTATAGCGTGGGTGTCGCGTAGCCTCTACCAGGCTTCGGGAGGCGGCTGGAAAGCCTAGAGAGACAAATAGAGAGACAACATGCCGAGGGAGTTGGTCCGCTAGAGTACATTTTGCCATACCCCCGGCATGCTATCTCTCTATTTGGCCTTTCCATCCGTCTCCCGAAGCCCCGTAGAAGCTAGGTTTGTTTGTTTGTTTGTTTATTCGATCTCCATTAGATTTACATGAAATCTATTCTTCCTGGAGTCGCAAAATTACAATGAAACAAATGTACAGAACAGAACAAAACAAATAAACATGAAAGTAAAACCAACATAACAAAAGGTGTGAGTCTTAATAAAAAAAATAACATAACGCACACAACATTAACTGAAAACTGAACTTAAGTGAACGGGGAGAGGTCAGAGGTCATGGATGATTAATGTAACAGGTGTTGCGTTGCAGGCGCAATTTTCTCTCACAACTCATTACTTAGGTCCAGAGTAACACAGTTCAAATTTCCTCCTTGAACACCTGTCCATTCGATTAGGTGTTTTCGATAGCCACCGCTCGTGTATTTTCAACCAAGCACTATTCTCGTAACTCCTAAGCAGATGTCTGGCGGCAAAAGCGTTACGATTAGAACTGGCCATCTAGAGAGAGTCCTTAGCCGCTTGGGAGGCAAATGGTAACTGTCTGGCTAATGGATACTGCCTGGCCAGTTTGATACTGTCTTTGCAACCACCGAAACATTTGCTTAGAGATTATATTCTCGATGCATGTAGAGGATTGACACTTCAGGCTCCCCCCAAAAAACGGGTCTTTCGGCTTCACGTCCCCAACCGAAGGGGTTAATGTAACGTCATAACCACCGATGCCCAAGCGGGGATAGAACTGAAGGGTACTTACGATCCCGATATGAAGTCGTGCAGGTTGCCCTCCTCCACGTTGTTCCCCAAGTAGAAGTTGGGGAGCTCGTCTCCCAGGCTCATCACAGGCATGGTGAGGCCGCTGCTGCTGAAACTAGAGATTAGATAGTGTCCTTATAAGAAGGCGCTACAACAGTCGTAGAACCAGTAAGAGATACTGCCGGGGACTGAAAGTCGTAGAAGGGGCTCGGACGTGAAATCGGGCTCGCCTGACGTTGTATCCCATCCGGTTCTGACGTCAAGTACGCGGGCACCCACTTTCAGAAACAGACATATGCCCGTGAACGTAAAAATAATGGGCCATCCACACACAACTAGCGCGTCGATCAGACCCTTCTTGACCAGACAAAGTTATAAGTTGGGCCGCACTTTAGCCCTAGAACCTGCTAAGGAGGTTACAAGCAGACAACTTCAGTGTGGAGTTGTCTCCGTCAAACTCGACCCTAGCAGACCCATAGCCACGCATTCAAGTACCAGAGTTATCAACCAAGGATCGAGGTGTTCAAGAATTCATTCTTTCCTAGAACTATCGCAGAGTGGAACTCACTGTCACCAAGTACAGTAGGGGCATTGTCAATGGATAGCTTTAAACAATGTCTAGAGCTAGAAGTTCAAGGGTTAGGTGTAACAAGTCGATCGGTGTAATATAACCAGCTGCCGCCGCGCCGCGTGCCTGCGAAGCTGGTGTGTTACGCCGAAAGGCGGTTATACCGGCTATACAGATACAGATACAGAGACAGATATGGTGCCTGTGAATTTAATCTCATGCAGGTTACTGACCTCACACACAACAGGCAAAAACAAAATCGCAACATGGGAAGTGTAAAAATCATGACGTCAATTCCCTATTCGTGTCTGAATCAGGAATGTGTCTCTTCAATAGGAAGTTGATTGGGTCTCATTTGACCTGCAATATCTTATCATGGAAAGGTTGCTGCTAAGGTAGAAACATGTATAGACTCCCAATTCCCAACGGTAACCAAGGAACGTGCAGCAGCTTGTATGGTTCAGTGTCGGGTACCACTTTTTCAATTGAATGCCCCATGTTAAAATGGCACAAAAGTGCATGCACAAAGTGCCATGGCTATTTTTTCCATTTAGAACACAAAAACTGCAACAATGTAGCGTACCGACGGGCTCGCTCTTAATTTTATCAGACTCAAGGACTTGTACTGCATATATGTAAAATAATGCAGACATGCAGGGACCGTCGGCAAAGTAACGAGGTTGTTGCTTTCATGCTGACCACAAAGCAGAATTAACGAACAACAGGATTTGTACAAGACTGGCGCGATTTTATCTGTGTCCCTGCGCGGCACTCATTAGTACAAGACATCGGCTTAATCCACCGAACACACTGTCAATTTCGATCAATTTTACTCTTTAGATGCCAGATAAAGCCAGTTCAACCCAGTTAGATCCGGCTCCAGACAGAAACAATATTAATTTTGCGTAGACCAGCCAGTTAACGTTGTTTTTTTAAGCATAATTACTTGCACTACGCCCCCCTCATCAGGCAAGGCTTTAATGACCTTAATAGATCCTCACATTAAATATTTATCGTGTTTTTGTCTGCAACGGGAGTCAGACTACAAGAAATGGGATACAACTACAACTGAAATTCAATCGGAAAATAGCACGTGTTAATAAAAATAGTCCATCCCGTAAGCACCTGCTAATGCTAGCCTCTACCAGGCTTCAGAAGTGGCGGAAAACAAGCGCAGAAATTGGCCAGATAGTCAGACATGCCAGGGGAGTTGGTACATTTTGCCTCTCAGTGTACCGGGATTGGTAACCACCACCACTACACCCAGCCCTGTTAGACGTACTTATTACTTGACTTAGATCTCTTCGAAGAGGCCCGTCCGAGAGCATAGGGCCTTGGTGAATTGCCTCCACCGGTAAGAATCTGGTAGAAACAAAATGGCACGCCTACCTGTTACTGTTACTTTAACAAGGAGAAATCCACCACGTTTGTTCCGCCCTTCTGTGCTGCGCCACTGTTCTCTGTCTGACTCACACCCCAGAATGTCACTAGAAAAACCGTCCAGTTATCTAACACCACGTTAATTATAATATACGTAAACCGCGCGCCACGCGTTGCCATGGTTACGGCCTTCTGGGACGTCATATCAGCTATACGAACTATGTTATGGAAATGAAGCACTTGTTGGAGTTAATGATCTCTGAGCAGATCATACAACGGCAAGACAGTTGTAACCATTAGCCACTCTGTAACCATTACCCGCCGAAGCTAAATGGCTGCATGGTGGGTAAATATATAAATGAGCTATTTTAAACCTTTTGTACATATCTCTCTTGGAAGTCAGGTCCACTAGAAAGCTAAGATTGCTAAGCTAAGATCAAATATTGGAACTCTATTACGGAACAGAACGCGCTACCCACACACCTAGTTACACAACCATCTGTCGACAGTCAAGTACGGGTTGGCCAGGGGAGTTGGCCAGCTAAAGAGTACAGTGTGCCGACTAATGTTAACACCACTGGCATGTTACCTGTCTATTTGGCCAATTTCTACTCTTTACAGCCGCTTCTGAAGCCTGTTAGAGGCTACACCACCCTAGCTAGGGCTTTGCCCCGTGAAGAATAAATATAAACACGTGTACGCTGAAACTATGTGGCTACCTGAGGAATAACTCTTATGCGATGGCGACGACAAAGCACGTAATTGGTGCTGAATAGAAAATACCAACATACATAAGCCGCATTCATACTTGAATATATATAGCCCTGTCCTTGGTGCTGAATTCTCCTTCCGTCGTTCTGTATACATTTTCCAGCCAGTTTTCTTGTTAGAGCATCTACCTTTAAAAAGTCTTATCATCAATTACATATTTTCAAGATCGCTATAGTAATACTAGAAATATCTGACAAATCAGCCAGTGAAAACCAGTTGAAATTGTGGGCACTCCCTTTATTTCAAACAGCTGAAAAATACTGTCCATCACAAGAGCATGTTAGCTATTCCATGTAATCTGAGCTGGGGCTGCCATGTTGGCATACAAACAGCAAGCCAATCAGAAAGCTGTACAGTTGTAATTTGTAACTCATACTTTTGTAGAGATGTTATTCTTGTACTTTACTGGTCTCTGTGTTGTTAGATCCATCCATTCCTTTGCTAAGCAATCACAAAAATGCTTCATTTTGTTGGATGAGCCCAGGACCATCACAGCAAAACTCCATGGTGAGACCAACTCTGGTGAAAACACCAGGGTGAGACCGATTCTAAATCTGTTAGCAGCTTAAGACTCTTTGGGGTTACACAAGGTCAGTTTTCACAATGATTTGGCAGCTGAGTACAGATTGAATGAAGGCTGTGTTTGTATTATATGTAGGAACTTCCTTACAAGATGGCAAGAGCCTGTGGTTACCTAGTACACAACATGATTTCCTCCTGAATCAGAATTAACTAAAATAACTAACTAGCAGAATTGATAGGCACTCACTTTGAGGGCTGATGTGTTTTCACCGTTTGGAAAAAGCCGATTATCAGATAAAAATTTCAGTATTAGGATGTTATTCATTCAAACCCTTCCAATGCCAATGGCATAATTATAACCTTCTGTGCCCATACCCTAACTCACTTCTTTATATTATTTATTCATTCAGATTAGTACAAATCCCACACAAATCCTAGTTAGTAAGGGTTAAGGGATAGAGTTTTATATAGACACTCTTCTGAATCAAAAATAGTTGTTAGGCTAGCAGCTATCTTTTTTGTTTTGATTGTACTTAGTCTGATTTAGTATCTTTGGAAGGATGCAAAATGTACAACTCAAAAAGAAGCTGAGATTATGTAGGTATATAATCTAGACTATATATGCATTGGCAATGCTAAGTCCTAGGAAACAGGAACAGGAAACACAACATTTTTTCCCTAGGCCTAAGCATATAATCTAGACTATTAGTATATCTGCATTGGCAATGCTAAAGCATATTGCCTTGTTGTAGAGTTAATCATATAAGGCTGAGTGCCACAGTGTCTCAAAAACAAGACTGGAGCCAGATTTGGTTTTGGGTGGTTGAAGGTTGGGAGAAACCATTTATTCCGGCATGGGGGTCATGCGCAGGTAGCCCTTTCCGGAGGGGACACTGAGAGTCTCCACCCCCTTGGGGAATAGGCCGGCCTCCTCCTCCTTCTTCACACTGGGCACCACCATGCACTTGTCTCCAACCTGGGAATAGAGGAGCAAGATATGGAGTTATTTGGTTTGTGTAACAAAAGAAAGAGGGAAAGACACAAACTTACAGTGGCTGACTCTAACTCCCGGAGATCAAACCCATGCCGCACGTGGCGTGTCAATCCACAGCCGAGCACATCACCGCTAGACCAAGAGGTCCAGGACCAATTGGGCTGAGCAGTTGGTGATGCCTATATACCTCGCTGTTACAGTAGAAAAGCAGAGGTCTCATCACCTGCTAATTTCAATCCCTGGCCAATTAAGTCATACAAAAGACTTTTGTATACATACTTGTTTCCTCTGCTTAGCACTTAGGCCATATTGATTTGATTATATGGATGACATCCTCTGAGAACCCTACAACTGATGCGAGCGTGCGAATAAAAAAAAAAGTTTGGCAAAAAAAAAGTTTCTTTCATTATGAAATCTAGGTGATTATGAAGGTTAAACAAATGACAAAGAGTATGGTATGGTGAATAATCTAATCTTTAAATCTATTTCTTTACATTTTCGTCTTTTTCGTTTGATTTTGGCATTCTACGACAATGGTATCATTTTCGAATATTTTTTTGGCAACTTACGGTATATATTTGCTCATTTTTGCATCTGTTTTGAACTATTTGCAGCATGGTTGAAAACTTTTTTTTTTTGGAAATGGCCGAAAATTGATGCGCGCGCGGATGTCATCCATATAATCAAATCAACATGGCCGTAGCATTTGTGAAAGAGTATGCACACCACTCAGCCTGGGTACCATCCTATTTGTATGCCGGGGCTCCCACACTCCCCCCTAAGAAATATTTCATTACCAGCTGCATGACCTAAGGCTACAGAACCAGAGATGGCACTGACTATCATATGCACCATCTGGTATGATGAGCTTACCTTCCAGTCTACAGGAGTGGCCACCTTCTTAGTAGCTGTGAGCTGCAGAGAGTCGACCACACGCAGGATCTCACTGTCAAACACAGACACAGTACAAGATGTTAGAGATAAATAAGTAAAGTAATGGGGTCATCATGGTGTTCTCTTTTTAGATTGGGTGTAGACAAAGTTTCCCATTGTTAAAGAACATTTTCCTGTCTAGTACATGTACCTTGGAAGGGAAATTGAAGAGATTTCAAATATTTATTAGTACACGTGTTATACAAAAAAAATCAATCATAAAATACATGTATAGGAAAGTCAGAGATTCAGAAAATTTATCCAGTTGCTTGAATGATTTTGTACTTTTCTAAGTACTTGGATGTTTAACCTTCATCAACATTCTAAGTGGTATTTATGTTTAAAGTGTCAGACATGGAAAGAGGACTTTCAGTAACAAACTGAAAACTGTGTAGTACTACAGACTTGCTGGGTTTATTGATAAGGAAGATCTATATAGAACGTACGTGAAGTTCCTGCCTGTAGTGGCAGGGTACAGCATGGACAGTTTCAGCCTCTTGTCTGGGCCAAAAATCATCACCTGGGAAAGGAAGGTATGAGTATAGTTACATGTAGTTAGTTAAGTTTCACTCTCCAGCATGAAAAACATGTTCTTTGACTGTTTCTTTCCCGACACTTCCTCTAGTTCAGATCAAAACCTAGACATTTCGCTGCAGTGCCATAACAAGCCACTAGGGGGCCCAAATCATTACATAATGTAACCCTATACCCCTACCTAGCTACCAAGTTTCATTACAATGCATCCATAGCTTCTTGAATTATTGTGCTAAACCACATACACACACATTCACACACACACACATACATACAGACATACAAACAATACCAAAAACATAACCTTCTGGTGAAGAAAACAAACTCTCAAACAAACACACAAACAAACAGAGACGTACAGCCCTGCATGTGAGCGGCATGCCAGCACCGGCAGACTCGTCCGGGTCGATCATACCCAGTGACTTGGCGATCTCCCGGCTGTCGTCCGCGATGATCGGGTACGGGAAGTCCCCCACGTGGTTAGCGTGGGACTGCACATCCTGGGGGACGAGAGAAAAAATTTAAAGAAAATTCAACATTGTTAATTTTTCTAAAGTACATAATCTTATTGTGAATGGCATGCTATAACACTTTCAACATTTATAAACAGGCCCCTGGTGGTTGGAGAAGAAGAAAATTAAAGAACGGGCTGAGGGGGGGTACAACGTCAGCCATGTTTGGGATTGTGTTCTTGCCAAAGCGAGAAGCAGTACTCCAGTCAAAAGCTGTGGAAGGTGTCTGATAGACACAGAAATGTCAGCACTTACATGTGTAGGTGAGAATTTTGGTTGTGTAAAACTAAAAGAAAACTCCTGTATCGTCTACTTTACAAACCTGATGAAGCTATTTTTGGAAATTATGTAGGGCTGTTAGAAGTGTTATGTTAACTTATGTAGCCCTACTAATCTGTCTCTACTCCTTGATCCAGCCGTTATGGCTGGCCATGTCATCGACAGGGCGGTGTCCTTTTTCCTTATTGTATGATGTCAAAAGCACTGTGCAGGGCTGTTTGAAGTGTTATGTAGCCCTACTAATCTGACTCCACCCACCTTGATCCATCCATTATGGCTGTCAGCGTCATCGCAGGACAGGGCGATCATCTTGACTCCCCTCTTCTTGAACTCCGGAGCCAGGTTAGCGGCCCTGCCCAGCTCTGTTGTACACACCGGGGTGTAGTCACGCGGGTGAGAGAACAGAATGATCCAACTGGGGAAAAGGCAAAACCAAACATTAACCATTGGTCCATCTTCCCCATATGTATGTACTATATATATATACTAGCATGTTGCAATCATGCCCCCAGACAGCTTAGGTTGGAACTTCAGACTATACCTACAGGCCCAGCCTTCTCAAAACAAGCCGGCTACCGGCGAAAATCGCCGCCTACTCAAATTTTTGCGCCGGCTACTTTCGTCAAAATTTTCAAATTTTTGCGCCGGCTACTTTCGTCTAAATTTTCAGAAAAACAAGTAAGCTCCGTTACATTTTCTCACAAACTTCACCGGCTCATTTCTTCTGACGAACTTCAGACAAATTTATGCTAGCTTTCTGGATCTGAAAACTGCTTCTTTCTTAGCCTCCTGTGCAGATTTCTAGTGCACGAGTCAGCGTTTGCTTCTACGAGCGGCCCGCGGCCGGCCAGAGCGGCCGAAACTTTACGGGGGGAGGGTCTTGTTCGGGGCTCGAGTTGTATCCGCGGAGCTGTATCGCTCGAGCTAGGCGGAACTTGCTTCGTAAACTCGTTGCTCACGAAAATTTATCAAGCCGCTACCTTCCCAACTTCTCCCGGCACTAGTAACATTCCTGTTACAAATAACTAGTACAAATCACGTCAAAAAATATCAAGACATGTATAGAAGCGTGTTCATATCTTTCATACACAGAGACAAATTTTCAAAAACAAATCGCCATCAGCGAGATTTCACAGCTGTTTCATTCATCAAAAGTTCTTGTCGATCGTAAAATGATCACTCATCTGTTGTCTCCACTAGTGTGGCATTTGTAGCTTAATCACGGCTAGCCAAAAATCAGCGTCAAACCCCGGAATAAAAACACACACACTCCGCATCGCTGTACAAAAACAGGAGCTTTCAGGCGCCATCTTGTCATGAATATTAAGTAGCAGCGTGCGATCGACGCTCTGATTGGTTCACCTCACATGACCTGCGTTCTGATTGGATAAGCGATGTGGCCAGCAGCCGGCAGCGCGGGAAGATTTTTCTTCGCCGGCAGGCTCTCGCCGGTGAAGAAGAGACACATTTACGCTGCTTTCTACGTTTTTTCTACGACTACTAAGCAACATCCTATTAAAGAAATACATAATTAAAAGAATTTTCGGGAAGATGTATATTTCTCTACGCCGATTTTTGGCCATTTTCTCGTAATTTTCTTGTTCAAGGAACCCGGAAGTCAGTGTACCGGGACGCGGGGTGAATTTCCATAGGGCATTTATGGATCGCACCCCGCTAGAATTAAACCGTCAAAACAGAAACAAAACTTCCAAAAAGCGAAACTGTGACATTTTTTCACATCCCAATGATTATGTTTTCGATCAAATTGACNTTTAAATATGCTTTCTTATTTTTCTGCATTTTGTGGCCGGGCGCAAGGACCGCGCGTAATACGATCGGAGTGGCAAACAATTTAAATATTAATTATACAGCCTTTTTCCGGAATTATTTGTGCACGAACAGTAAATTTTGGAGCCACAAGATTGCCATAAAAGCTGCTCAGAATGTACCAAAAACGATGTTTAGGGGTCTAATTTTTACGATTTCCTCCGGGGGAGGCCACCCGGACCCCCCCAACGGGAGGGGGGCCACCCCCCTCCCGTACCCTCCCCCTGCGAGCCGCTGCGCGCCTGCTACTTTTTCTTATCAGCCACCTACTCTAAATTTTTTTGAGAAGGCTGTACAGCTACAAGCTGACAATAATACTTTTCCCGGTTACCAAACCTATTTTAGCTGCAGAGTCTATTTCATCCTTTCTCCAAATAGAGAATGAAAGAAAGCAGGCTAACAATTAGGTACAAAAAAACTCTCCAAAGTCTTTTGACTATACATGACGATTTTACAATATACAGTGATGATACACGTACATGTATTGTAGCAGGTTTATCATTAAGTCCCATACCAAGTCTCTCTTTATACAACCTAATAAGTCAAATCAAGTCACAGGTTATTTCCTTGTGGTCTTCAATCACCCTTGTTCTTGGAAAGCCACTCAGTCCCCAGGTGTGGCCTCTTATAGTTATACAAGGCAGTAATACAGAGTAACTGATCACCCACAATCTCCTCACCACATCTGAGCTGTTCTACTACATAATCCATCAGCATGTCTGCAGAACGTACTGCGCCTGCGCAAAACTCTGATTTTTTTTCAGTTTTTGTTAGATGTTTGATCAACGTTGCATCGGAATTTTGCCTGTTGCAGATGATATATTTTCCGACATAACACAGCAGCTTCTGTGTCTGTATATGTATCTGTATATAGTGGTATACATATACATTCTAACTGCCTTTTTTTTTTAACACACCAGCTTCTGAATCTATATCTGTGAAGTCAGTACAACACCCTATAATGTAAAATACCATGCAGCTTCACAGGCATCACAGTGGCGCAGTGGCAGCTGGCTATATTACAGCGACCGACTGCATAAGGCCAGTGTCACCTACCAACAATACAATCTGGGTGTCTTTTTTAAACAAATGTACGTGCTGTAATGTGAGAATACAGGACTCAAAACACACACATATCTATAGCTAATAGCACTACTAATCCTATCAAGCAAAATGGTGTACCCAGTGTCCAACCCTTCTGATAAAGGGGGGCCCGCAAGCCCTTTTCCGTAGAGCGTAATCGGCCGTTTTAATTCTGCGTAGACGGACCGCTCTAATATTTTTGCGTAGAGCGTATTCGGCATTTTAATTCTACGTAATGCGTTGTAGCCACTTGGAATTTATCGTAAAGCGTAGTCGAGAGGTTTCCGAATTCAGCGTAGAGTGTTGTCGGGACCCCCCCTTGCAGGCCCTCATAAAGGACTAAGTAAGGGTACATGGGGTGAAAACCCAAATGTCAATCTATAAATGATAAGCATCAGTTCCACAAAGAACAGACAACAACGATATGTCATTACAAATAATTATGTTGTCTATGCAAATGACCACAAGAAATTTCAGAAGAGCTATTTCATTTAGGTTGATTGCATCTGAGTAGAACCACCTGTTACTGAGGTCTGGGCCATGACATCTCACGATTGTAATTTGTTGCAGGAATTATTCTTAAATTGCAGGACACACTAAAATGGTTATAACATGTACCTATGTCTAACGATGTGAAAAAGGATACTATTCTAGTAAATTACCATGACTCGTAGTCATGAAACAAGTATGATGCAGTCTGCCATACAAGTAGCTGCCAATGTGTTATTTGCCAAGAATGGTACATGTATCTTATGTTTTAACTTTTATATTGAACCTTTCCAAAAATGCCTCACATGTTTACAAAACTCTCCCAATCCAAGGACAAATGTACAATTAAGAAGCGACATTGCACAAAGGGTCACATAAGGTCACAAGTCACCCTGTTGTGTTCTACAACCTAATGCTTGAACATTAGCTCAGACATGCAACAGCTCTCAATGGCCTTAAACAGAGGTTGTAGATAGGAAGATTACATTCCTGTGAATCCAGCTTTGGAGCAGCTGCAGGAAATTATATTCTATCTCTGCTAGTAAGTTCAAGACTGAATGCATCAATCAATCAACCGCAAACACGAACAATGTAAAATGTTGTAAGCAGACGTGTTGGCTCAGTTTTTTTATCTTAAGCCATACATTTTTACACACCTCGGATACATACTACTACTGTATCACTAGGTACAGCCATTGATGTTAAAAATCATATGTATTTTTAAGCTCCTTGGTACAACACTTGGGTGAAATGACTTGCAAAAATGAGCTCAGACCTGCATTCATTTGCATAGAGGTAAAAGGACCCCTTAGAAGGCCTTTTGTCTGTAAATAAGAGTCTTGACATTTCACAGAAGTACTTGAAAACTTTTCGTGACCTGGTTCACGCATGAAGTAATTCAGGGCTTGAAAATGTTGTTTTATTTCCTGCATACTGGGGCGTTGGTGTAGGCAACAATTAATCAGACTAGTTTTACCTGCATCACACAATTTCTGTCCTTTGTACATGTAGTACGATAAAAAAATGTTATTGGTAGTGTTGTTTCAAAGCTTACAGTCTGCTATATAACAGAAAGCTCAGTGAAGAATTTCAGGCTAGTAATTAGTGCCACATGCTGGTTTTATCACGGTCCACTGCAGGTTAGGTATAAGCAAGGACATTGGAACCAATGTCCTTGGTATAAGTAGATATCAGAAATACCTGTACAGCTCCAATTTTACACTAACTGAAGTATACAGGTGGTATTTGGGGCCCTGTAATGGCAAGAAACCACCACAACAACAACTGTTTGAAAACATCATTTCTGCTTAGTCATCGCTGTTTGTGCGTGACACACCCCTCAAAATCACACCAACCACCTGTTGATCAAAATGCTTGCAAATCCAGCTCATAGGAATGAGAAATTGTACAACTGTTACAAACAGCATAGTTAAATACAAAAGATGTGTTTGCTATCTAAATCCCCAGACAAGCCAAACATGGTGACGTTATTTCTGTGTGCTGCTGCCAAAGAAAGTTTACCGTAACTGGCACCGCCCACCACCTATTGTGTTGACCACCTGCCCCAGGTGACATCTACACAACATGCAAGACTGGAAAGTTCACAGAAGGCCTGCTGTTGCAGATTTCTCGTGGGTTCTAGTCCCAATTGTGGGACAGTGAGTCGAGGTCAGGGGTTCAAATCCCAAGCCATACAACTGTCCTTGTACTAAACACCCTGATGAGTGATTTGCATGCAACCTAACCAAACTTAAGTACTGGTTGTGGCTGTCATCTTTTAGTGGGGAATTCAAGGGAAAGTATTGGTCCCATGTTTGAAGAGAGCCACACCTAGTGCAGGGGTACACCTAGATATGCAGTGGACCAAACCTACAAGTCTTTTGCAAACAGACTGGACTGCAGATGCAGGGTTCGGCTCAGTGTTTTACATGTTTTTGACGCATAGTGCATTTTCTGCACTACATGTATACTGTCTGGTATTACTGTATGGACTAACCAACACGTAACATATGTTGAACAAACATTTCTTAGAGAAAGAATCCTACAATTTCCACCTTCCAATGCCTCCTCCCCCTGACATGCCTGACCTACAGTCCTATGGACTTTAAACCTTTTGTAAGCAATCCACTGGCATGCAAGGCTGGCCTCCACCACGCCTTCCTACGGGGGTATGGATCGTAGATAGAATTCGGCTAAAAAGGAAGACTAGTATTGGCCAGGAGAGTCAGTCCACAGGCAAATGAACTCTACCCTGGCAAACCTCCCCTTGCCAATAATTCTGCCAATTGGGCTAAATTTTACTGTTTGTAACCCGTAGTGTTTCTCTGGTGGAGACTAAAACCATGGGGGCGGTGAACCTTGAAGCTAAGCGTGCCAACAAAACGTTGCAACAAAAGCTGGAGAGAAAAAACTTACGAATCCTTCATGAACTCGTGCATCTTCATGGACCCTTCGTTGGTCACGATGGCCACGTTGGGCATCTCATCTCCAAGGTTCAGAGGAGGCATGTTGTCTTGTCTTCTCGGTGGCTAAAACTTCAAGAAAAGCTGGAGAGACGTGACACGAACTCACGCAAGTGTGCAGTCTTTGGTGCAAAAGGGGGGAGGGGCGCAAGAAGACACGTAAGCCAGCTGGTGCGATCACGTGATATTCCGTCAGCCAATAGGAAGAGAGAATGGTTGACCACGCCCCCACACGTCCCAAACCCGGAAGTGTGGCATTTTTTTCTTGTTTATTCGGACGATAAAATCTCTATTCTAAAGCTATTTATAGCACATCCGCAAGATTCAACGACTTCTATACCACGCTCAATGTCTTTGAAACATATTCGCAAGCTAATACATGGACCGAAGGTGGCGAAACACGCTATAATACCGCAAAATGAAAGGATTTTAATAGCGCTTACTATTTCGACGTCTGCACACTTGGACCTGCAATTCAGAAAAAATCCGTAAGAGGCATCACTCTACACTCAATTCTTTTGTTACCGATCAAATAATGTTTATACATACCTATAAGCTATAACAACATAGTTGTATACCTTAATTTATTGTAATATATAAAAAATACGCGTTAGATATTGATAAAATTTTGAGTCATAATTTTACTACAAAGAATTCAGGGTTTAAGTATGTATTTACGGACGGCACATTTCGTGATTGGGGATGTAGCTCAGTGGTAGAGCGCGTGCTTCGCATGTACGAGGCCCTGGGTTCAAATCCCAGTATCTCCAGACGTGTTTTTGCTCCCTTTTTTTGGACCCTTCTGATTGAAAGTACTAAGTGCTACGCGATAACTGCATACTGTGCATAGATTTTAATTTTGTAATCGTCTTCGAATGTCTAAATAGTGTGTTTGCCTATGTTGTTTCATGTGTACAATGAAGAGTGTCACAAATCATTGTTTTTAATGCTCTATGCACTATGTAATAAGGACGAAATTCGGGTATTTGCCCGCGAGAGCCTTACCGAATAAAAATTTGAATTTGAATAAGTACGTTTACTCAAGCTACCTTTTCTAATTACAAATGTCATGTCCCCCCAATTTTTGTCGTCTATTCCCAACCAGAAGTTAGGATAGAAAATGTAATATATTAAGACTTTAAACTTGATATGTAAACTGTATCGTATATTTTATATATGTTTAGCACTCGGGCATGAACTTGCAATAAAGAACTTCTACATTTTGTCTGACCCTTACCTCTTCCCTCATGACCTCAATGACGAGCGGTCTCCAGGCAAGGTTCGTCACTTTAACAAACAAAAATACACATCTGTATCTGCTCGGAGCATGGCTATGAAAATGTAGTAGCCTTTTCTTTTTAGCATGGCATCAATCCCTATTATTTCTCCGGACATTAGATCTTTCGGTGGCAAGACACTATCTCGGAATACAGTAGGTTAACTGAATGGGTCGCTGTCAGACATCCTCCCATGGCAGGGGCAGCGGCTCCGAATTCCTTCTCCACCGAACCGCTGCCCCTGCCATGGGAGGATGCTGTCAGAAAGCAATATTAAAATAGGAGAAAAAGTCACAATCTTAATTAACCTCTGCTTGGAGAGTACTAGACAGTTTCCCTGCTCGATTAAAAATTAATGAAGCGATATAATAACGGGGTTTACTACAAAGAACATTTGGCAGCCTAGGGGCTGAGTTACATGTTCCGTACGTACATGGGTACTGTAAAGGTCAAACGGCATATGACACGTTAAGAAGTCTAACATGTTAAAATACTCAATAACTTGCTTGAAATCACTGACGACTTCCTTAAAAGGTTACAAGCCGAGCTTACAAGTACGAACAAATAGCAGCTAAAGCTGTATACCCGTATGTACATGAAAATTCAATATTAGCCTTAATGTATTGTAATATATTATTCGTCCTTGAAAATCTGATTCGGGCAATAAAGTAATAACTTTCCACCAAACAAATAATAGATCATATACTTTCATTACCTGATAATTTATGTCAGCCTGCCGTACAGTTTATGTTGCGATACATTATTAGTCCTTGTAAAACTAATCTTAAAAAAAATCAGAATTTCCCCCAAACATACAATTGGTTTGGCGCCGCCTATAAAAACAGCGCTCTCCACTTTCATTACCTCATCATTTACGTCATCAGCCGGGCTGTGCCTACGAAAGGACAAGGTACATCCATCCACAGTGTGCCAGCTGTCCTGCCGGTCTGTGCACTGTAGCTACTATAGATAATCTCTCTCGGGAAAAAATCTACGGTCAACCACAGCATACAGCGTTTTGTTCCAGTCGCCATTGCATGATCATATCAGGTTTTGCGTTCGTTTTATCAGTCAGTGACATTTTAATATTTTACAAGGGACGGCATACTGGCATCACCCTACGGAAGAGCGCCGGCTTGCGTGCACTTGATATTCATTCTCGGGAACTATATACAGTATACGTCACGGCAGCATACAACGTTTTGTTCCAGTCGCCATTGCACGATCAGGTTTTTGCGTTCGTTTTATCAATCAGTGACGTTTTGATATTTTTCAACAAGGGACGGCATATATACAATAACATCACCCTATACTACGACTGCTAGACGGCCGGTCTGTGTGCACTGGATGTCGGGAAATCTACGTTCACTATAGCATGGAGCGTTTTGGTCATGCCATCTTGGCATTTAGATACTAGTATCTTACACTGAGGGACGGTATACTAGTACATCATCCTACGACTGTCCGCACATCAGCATGGGAAGCAGCTACAGCTGTAGTAGCGTCTTTCCCGGCGACATTTTGGATGTCAGGGGACCGCTGCCCGAGCCATGGTGAGTACGTCACATTACGTCATGCCGGCAGTAGGAGTAGAAAAATTAGCTTCCATGGCATGTCAAAAACTGGGGGTTTTGAGGGGTCTTCAGGGTCTTTGGGAGCATTTATGTGCTATTTTTTGATTGCATATACGTAGACAACATAGCCGTCCTGGTTGAAAACAGCCGAAGACCACCAAACCCCCAGTTATATATATAAGCCTGCTACGGAGGCTATAGAAAATATGGCATGTTGTTGTTTTCTTACCATATGGTACCCGGTATTGCGCATGGAATGGTCGCTAAATTCTCCGAAAAATCGCGAGAAGTCTGAGAGATTCGATATGATTCCTAGATCTGACTGGTGGCCTATGAATTGGTTTTAGGGAACATCCTAATTTTCTAGTATTTCCTAAAAATCTTTTGTTTGTTTTTGAGATAGGAATGATAATCTCAATTCAAGGTCACTATAATATAAGGAAAGAAAAATTGTACCTATTCTACCCGAATTTCTTCTACATTGAAAGAATAGTGTGGTGTGATCACATGTTGAACTCTTGATTTTGAGAGGAAATGCTGTGATTATCGGCAATTTTGTATCCCCCCCCCCCCCCTTTCGCCATACGGCTTTCCATAGGCATAGACCCAGCAGGCTAAGCTAATTTCTTCAGTAACGTGTCTCTCCACACTACATCTGAGAAAGAGTCAGTGACCGTGGTATATCAATAATTGTAGAAATCCTCCCTGACTGAACCACACTTGTTGGATTGTTGCTAAGGTCAGATTTTCATATCAGGGGGCGTGAAGTTGAAACGGCCTTCGCCCTCAATAATCATTGATTGAAGCCTGTTGAAATAATCGGGCGGTGAAAATTTTTTTGCGGGCGGCCGCCCTGATAAAGATCTACATATAGGACAGGCATATCTTCTGTCTTTTTATATTTAGCAAGGAGGATGTAGCTATAGTATCATATGACCGCCTTGATAATAGAAAGCTGGTGATAATAGAAGCTGGTGATACTTGATCTCCAAACAGATCCCTTTCGGTGGCAAAAACACGGTATAAAATTGGCCAGGCAGTATCCATTAGCCAGAGAAGGTCGCCAGCCACCAACGGTTGGTGGGGGTAGCGACAAAAACAACGGACATATATAAAAAGCTAACGATCATTCCCCCACAACCTCTGCTTGGAGGGTAGGTGATACTGCGAATGATTATGTTACTGCATACCAGACTGTATAAATTAATCATTATGCGCATGAAACATAAAACAAAGCATCCAACTCTTCATGTTCTATTATTCAGCTTAAACTGCCCGACGAACAAAATACACTAGTACCTTTATTGCGTGCGTTGCACAAAAGACCAGCTTTAATTACTGGCGGATACTAAATTTAGTCTGGAGAGCACTTAAACAGCAAACGCGACGTGGTGACTCCAGGTTACACACAATTTTTATATGGCTTGACCTATATAGCTCGGGTCTAAGGTAAGTAATGGTGTATCATAAAAGGTTCAAACGTAATTTTGGCACCCATCCTACGTGTATAATGTGTATAATATTTTACTGAAACACATGGGTACATATGTCATGGCTGTTGTATTAAATGGAGGATACCAGTGACTGAGGATAACTGTGTGTTTAGTGTAGTGAATATAACGTTAGGTAAGACGTCTAATACTATATCCATATATAGTGTTATATCTGAGAGTATAATACTATATATGCATATACATATAGAATACAACACGGGGTATTCCGTATCGCCCGAGGTATCGGCCCGACCGCGGGTTCGGAACGCCCGACGGCCGCAGTGGTGAGTAATAATAGTGTAATAATATATATATATAATACTATATATCTGAGAGTATAATACTATATATGCATATACAGTGTTATAACTGAGAGTTCGTTCTGAAGAACTATAGTGAAGTCTATTTAATGAACCGTCCATTCAGCCAAGGAAACGTCCTTAGTTCAACATTACAGCAAACCTGCAATCCGTGTAGTATTTGGCACTTCTTCATTTTTTTGCACTGGAATTTTCTGGTGGGGTGAAAAAAATTCCAGTGCAAAAATGAAACTCCTAATTTTTTTCACCCCACCAAAAAAATTCCAGTGCAAAAACAGAAAATTCGGGGTTTCATTTTTGCACTGGAATTTTTTTTACCCCACCAGAAAAATCCAGTGCAAACAAGAAACCCCGATGGAAAAAGCCTAAAAACACGCCAACACCCAAACCTCTGCTTGGAGAGTACCTATTTGCTAGTAGTAATAGACTGACATCAATTACAACGTTACGAGTACACTATCCACCGTAGTGACGGCCTGGGTATGACAAAAAGTCGCCTAAGGCTAGGGAACTGATTTAACTGATTAAAACCCGGCAAGTGACGCCACAAAGAAGAGGAGTACGTCAGCTGACGTAAAGAAATGGAGAAGAACTAGTGAAGTGCAGAAAAAGGTCTTTTGCGTTGATTACCCTTGAGTCGTGACATAGGCATCACATAAAATCACAGGAGAACTAACCGATTGACTACAAAGTAGCATTTCCGAAGAATTAGAATAGAGAAGTACTAGTGAAGCGAGGTTTGAGTAATTTTTTTTGGCTTTTGCTAGTATAAGAAGGGGGCATTTGTTGTTCTTCCTCTTCTGTTTTTCTTTCACTAAAAGTATGCTGGAGATCCGCAATTCTTCTAGATCTATATGTACGGTTCCTTATGTACATATATAGAAAAGGCGCTCTTTATTACAAATTCCTACCCGAGGTCTAATAGCAGACTGAGAAAGACAAAGAGTACATAGTGTATTGAAGGAAGGTATACAACCGGGCTGTGAGCTTGTAAACACCACAAACAGATCAATGGGGTCGTGTGGCGTAGCGGCAGAGTGCGCGACTCGGAACCAAGAGTCCCGGGTTCGAGTCCTGACATGCCACCGATCTTGTGCCCCTGGGAAAGGCACTTTACACGGCTTTCCTCACTTCGCTCAGGTGTAAATGAGTATTGTCCTGTAATGTATTTGTCCCCTGTGTTGGTGGCGGCATTAATATAAGTTGAAGAAACTTGAGCGTGCCGTCACCACGTCTTGTGATGTACATGTTGGAATAAACAAAAACAAAAACAAAAAAACAGATAAGTATAGCGAGGCCTGTCGCAGGCTTTAATTATTTGAGTATATACTCGTACCACACTGCGCTCGTACTTCTTCATTTTCTTTGTACTTCTGATGACAGCTGATGACGTCACTGTGTACTTCCCTTCTGCGACGTGACGTCATACATGGGAACCCGTGAACTTTACAGGGTGCTGCTTGAATGGATGAACGAATGCCAAGCCAATACCCAGCTGTAGAGTCATTTTTGTTTTCTGGTGTGGCTTTTGTATATAGTTGCACAGTTTGGTTTCTTTCATTTTGCAATTTATTATTTATATATCATTTTTCATCTGTTTGTATATTTTTGTTGCGCACCACCACCTGCCACACCAGCTGCACCTCCTTCCCGGGACGCGATGTGCCGTGAGGCACTTTGTCCCGTATCATGTAGATGTAGATGTAGAATGAATGAATGAGAGAATGAATGAGATAATCTTCTCTGTACCGGGGGTGAAAAATGAGTGAATGAATGAGTAAATGAATGAATGAATTTTCTCTACCCTCCCCAAGACGGCGGCAGAGGGAGCTGGCTAGCCGTGGAGGTGTAGCGGTCGGTGCTAAATGAGCGAATGAATGAATGAATGAATGAATGAATGAATGAATGAATGAATGAAAGAGTATGATGTTCTCTACATTCTCCCCAGGCCGGCGGCAGAGGGAAGCCGTGCCCTGTACCGGGCGGCAGTAGAGGGTGACGCCGGGGCGCTGTCGGACCTCCTGCTGCAGCAGCCTGAGATCCTGCCGGGGGTGGAGAAAAACGCCCCGCTTATCATCATGTCTTCGGAGCAGCTGAGAGGGTGGGTGAGAGTTTATTGTTTACCAATCAATCAAAAATGGTTTATTAATAAAAGACATTGCAGCCAAACAGGCTGAATTGCGCCATCTGTACATACATATTGTGCAGGACACATAAAAAAATATTTACAACATAGTTTTAAAATAATCATACATTAGTGTCAATTGTTTCTAATATCAGTTAGCGTTCAGGATCCGCAACATCGATGGTACAGGACTGTTCTTAAACCTTTAAAGAGTTCGGCAGGTCGGTAGGGTTAGTTCATGAGAATTTCTAAGGGACCGTCCATGTGTTTGTCCCCTGGAAACGGGTACTAACTTTATTGAAATAAAGACCATCTGCATTAAAAAAATCAAAACAAAGAATGGTTTTCACCCAGAGTTTCGACCTAGTGGGATCGTGTAGCGCAAAGGTAGCGTGTTCGGCAGACCCCAGAGGTCGCGGGTTCGAATCCTGCCTTGTCACCGATATTGTGCCTTTGGGAAAGGCACTTAACACGACTTTCCTCACTTCATTCAGGTGGAAATGAGTAATAGTGAAATAGGAACGTCCATCGGATAGGGCGTTGAATGGAGGTCCCGTGTTTAGGGAGAGCCACACCCCACACACAGTAAAGAACCCACCACACTTACCGAAAATTAAAAGAGTAGGGGCGTGCCCTGGTGTGCGATGGTACAGATACTACCGTATGGAGCTGGTTATTCACTTCAAATCACCCGGACCTTGCCCTTATTTCCAGTGGGAGTCTGTTGGGTGAGGATCTGGAGTTTTTCCGGCAGTTTCTGCGGGGCGACTACAGCCGTGTGTGTCAGCGGGTCACGTGTCTGTGTCAGAAAGAACAGGACAGGGTTTACGTCGTCGGCATGACGCCCCTACAGGTCGGTTAGAGTGGAATGAATAAATGAATGAATGAGTGAGTGAGTGAAAGAATGGATGAGTGAATGGATGAATGGATGGATGAATGGATGGATGGATGGTTAAATGAATGGATGGATGGATGGATGGATGAATGAATGAATGAATGAATGGATGAATAGATTAAAGAATGAATGAATGAATGCATAAATGGATGGACGGATGGATGGATGAGTGGACGGATGGATGGATGAATTGACGGGTGAATGGACGGATGAATGGATAGATGAATGGATGGATGAATGAATAAACTAATTCTACAAAATTCTATGTAAAGCAATTGCATCATGTTAACCATCACATTGTCTAGCCAACAAACTACTACTCAGTATATAAATCTCACGAATAACATTTTCCGTGACAGGTCGCCTGCATGGCCGGGCACTCCCGCTGCGTTTCCGTGCTGCTCCGCCAGGGGGCGGACCCGGAGGCCAAAGAGACGCGGTTCGGAGCGTACATACCCGTGCGAGAATACGTCGGCACCGTGGTCCACCCTCTGTCTCCCACACAGCTCTGCGCCGCCAACGGGCACCAGGACTGCCTGGAAACGTTGCTGGAGTATTCCAAGACCGACGACGCCCCGTTTTACCCCAAGGCAAAACTGTTAAACTATGGCATTTAGATAATTGTGGCATTTAGATAATTTATTGGTATCTTTGAAAATGAATTGGTATCTTTTAAATATTGCTTCTTTTACGTATGTATACGTGAGGTCGGCAGAGTGCGCGACTCGGAACTAACAGTCCGGGGTTCGAGTCCTGACATGCCACCGATCTTGTGCCCCTGGGAAAGGCACTTTACACGACTTTCCTCACATAGCTCAAGAGTAAATGTATTTGTCCCCTGTGTTGGTGGCGGCATTAATATAAGTTGAAGAAACTTGAGTGTGTCGTCACCACGTCTGGTGATTAGATGTTGGAATAAAAAAATGTATTGTCACCTGTTCGCCGTTTGTAAACTTTTAGACCGATTGTATATGTCAACTTGTGGAAATTTGTATATGTACATGTGAACTCATGAGCTGCGATGAGTTTGTATCGAATAATAAAAACATTCTATATGTTATAGGTCTGCGGCGCGACGGTGTCCCACATCAGTCGTACGCCTCCGCTCCACCTCGCCTCGGTTCTTGAGCTGCCGGACTGTCTGGAGACGCTGGTCTCGCGGGGGGTGAGTCTTGAGTCAGGCTACTCTACCAGGCTTCGGGAGGCGGCTGGAAAGAGTAGAAATGAGCCAAATAGAGAGAGATAACATGATGCCAGGGAAGTTGGTCTGATGGGAGAGAACATTTTGCCGGGTGCCGATTTCTACTCTTTCCAGCCGCCTCCCGAAGCCTGGTAGCGACTAGAATCAGGCCTGCATGCCTTTTTTCGTGAGGCGTGATCAGGCCTTTTTAGTCTTCGTAATCCGTAGGCAGGCTAGCCTTCCAAAAAATCAACGTAATTCGTAATATACTAGTAGTACATTAGCCGCAAAGCGTAAGGTCGTAATCACACACACACACACACACACACACACACACACACACACACACAAACACACACACACACAATGTAATTCGTAATCGGCGGCGAAAATTTTGCATAATTCGTAATCACACTGGACCTTGCATAGCCTGACCAAGCAACATCGTTTGTATATCGTTTGCAAATAATTTTTTGAGTATGTCTTTTGTATAATATACGTTATTTTAATTTAGATGTGTTGTTTTCCAACATTGATGTGAAAAATGTGACAAATTGTACCTAATTCAGGGGGATGCGCTTCTGCTCCCCCTGCTGCTGTACATTTGTGAAAGAATTAGCAAAGAAGTAAATAAAATCATTAAAAAATTCAAATCACTACCCCCCCCCCATGCAGGCCCACCTTGAGGAGCGAGACGAGACGGACATGACGGAGACGTTCGGCAGGGGGATGATAGAAGACAGCGCGCCCCTGCAGGAAGTCTTACGTTACGTCTACGGGAGCGTGGACGCTGCGCTGGGTCTGCGGGGGCTGACCGCGCTCCATCACGCCTGCAAGTCCGCCAACGACGCCTGCCTGGAGGTCTGTATCTTTAGTCGAACCCAGTAGTTTCTTAGTAGCTATCAATAGTTCTATAAGTACAAATTGTCTGTTTTTATACCATGTTTCTTCTGCTCCTGCAATTAGCCCTCGGGCAAGAATTTGCAATAAACAATATACTATTTATTATGTTTACCGAAAGAAAACATATTGTTTTTGCTCGGTTTCGTCTTATTCCTCTTCTTTTTCTCCAAACAGTGACTCTTTTGTTGACGTCTGTCACCATATTAACTGGTGTTGGGTTACATAATGTTGCAATTTCATAGTAGGCATTTAGACTCCTGTCACCATATACATGTTTGTAAATGTGTTTGAGTAAGAATTAGCAGAGCAGACCATATCCGAAGGTAAACATTATGCATTTGCTTTGCAAATGTTACTTTTCTAGTCTGTATCTGTATCTGTATAGCCGGTATAACCGCCCTTCGGCGTAACACACCAGCTTCGCAGGCACGCGGCGCGGCGGCAGCTGGCTATATTACACCAATCGACTTGTTACACCTAAACCTTGAACATCTAACTCTAAACTGTTTAAAGCTATCTAATGACAATGCCCCTACTGTACTTGGTGACAGTGAGTTCCACTCTGCGATAGTTCTAGGAAAGAATGAATTCTTGAACACCTCAATCCTTGGTTGATATGATAACTCTGGTACTTGAAGGCATGGCTATTTCTTGTTCTCAGGTCCTGCTAGAACACGGCGCGGACTGCAGCACCTCGGCGCGACGCCAGGAGTCCCCACTGCACCTGCTGGCCGACCACGGCGTCAGGCACAAGTACTGGAACGGCGTGCCCGACGAGAGTTTCGAGAACTGCCTCAGACTGTTGCTGAACCACGGCGCGTTCGTCGACTGTACCGACGAGAAGCGCATCGACCTGATCGATCGCCCTCTGATCAAAATGTTCCAAGAGGGATTATCTGACAACTGTCTGGTAAACTGCACCCTCATTTTACTCGGCGGATCTACCTTCACGCTACGAAGAACCAAGACGGTGCCTTGCTGGCTCAAGACCCACCACTGGCAAGACCTGGAGGCCGGGGACGATAACATAGACTACGAGGACGGCGTGCCAGCGGATTCAGTACTCAACCTAACCGCTAGGGTCGCTGCTGAGATACCGAGAGATACGCTGTTCATGGGATTGCCAGAGAATCGGGAGGCATTGAGAGCGGCTGCCAATTGTAAGGGCGTGTATCTGAAGTACATCCTCTCGCTGCCGAACGAGCCGCGTAAGTTAGCGGACCTGTCCCGGCTCGTCGTCCGGAGGGCGCTCGGGAGACACGTGCACAGGGACATCGGGAAACTCGGACTGCCGAAAGCCATGGAGGATTTCATTCTTCTCTGGGACTTGGACTACGAGTAAGACGGGTCGAGACGGTCCAAGACTTTGGTTTAAAAGATGGACTGATTTGTATCACCAGCGGGGCTGGAATTGTAGAAAAACTGCTCACTTTGTCATTGAATAAAAAGTTATGTATGATTTTTCCTTAGAAATCCTCTAAAAGAAAGGGAAATGCTATTTCAGAAGGTTCAATTGTGAAAATTTTTGACCCCCCCCCCCAGGAAACTCGCGCCTTTGGCGCTCGCTGATCCCAGACCTCGGGAAGAACCCCCCCCCTTCAAACTTTGGCTACGGCATGTAAAGTCACAGACGGAAAGTAGTGGACACTACTTGAAACGTCTGACATGAGCAGTTTTCAAAATTTTTTCAGTTGCTTGAGTAACTGAGTGTCACTGACGAAAGGTAGTGGATACTACCAGAAACGTATGACCGTTTCCAAAACCATATCCCTTTGCTTGAGTAGCTGCTTTTGGCGTATCTTATTACCTGGCGTATGCTTGAGTAACTGTTCTCTTGTGTAAGTCATTATTTGGTTGTCTAACCTTCATCTACGAGTCAAGAAAGTCTTCGATGGAAGTCACTCCCCCCAAACACAAGTCATTGTCCGTTCCGCAAACTTGCTTTATCCTGATTAATCAAACATTGAATTTAATGATTATTAGTACCAGCTGCTACTTGTATTAATTGATAAAGTAATGTGATATTTATTAAACGTCAATTATAATGTATTAATGGTCTGTAACATATTTGAAGTGATTGGAAATCACAGATGATGTATTGTGAAGATCGTACAGAAAGACACATGTATCTATAAAGATTTGAACATGTTATTTTTATCGAAGGAATATTGTGAAATAGTGTAAAGTATTTTGAATGAAAAGAGAGAAGCCTCACAGATTGTTATGTATCAAATGCTATTTTTATTGTTTTGTCCCCGGTCTCTGGAGTGCAATTTCTGTATTTTCCGCCAGATGCCGTTTACAACCCGAGGGGTGAAGTCTGCCATCTCTGACCGTCTTGTCAATATGCTGTGATACTATCATGAAACTTCATCTGTGTTGGTAGTTAACGTTAAATGTTTAGAGTTAAAACTTTTGAGAAGCCACGTGACAAGCTTCACTGGGTCAGTCTACTGAGGAAGACCAGAATGACTGGTCGAAAGCTCTAGGTGAGAGAAATTTTTGCGTTGGACCAAAAGTTTTAACTCCAAACATTCTGTGATAGTATTGATTTGTATATCTATGCTGCACGGACATTGTTAAAGATAGCTACAACCTACCTGTCTAGTTTGCAGGTCACTTTGCTTTGTTGCCTAGTCTTCTATTGTTCAGTAGTTCATTACAAAAATGATGACAGTGTAAAACGGTGTTTAACGATGTACCTTTATATTTCGAATTAATAGACAGGAATCATCTTGGCACAAGCTTTATCACTTCTTTCCATGTTTTCCATTGTATACATACTGTCACAACCGTGCATCTTAATCACATTCCAGAGGATTTTATCACTTTTAGATGGTACATGTATAAATAAAGTTTAACATGATGGTATGGTATATCACATTGTCGTCTTGTCAGGTATTCTTATATACGCATACCAACAGTTAAGATACATGCATGTATAAAAAGTGCTTTCGAGTGAAAGCTACTGTGTGCATGGAAATCGTAACTTGGAAATCTATGTACAATACTGCCATATCTTACATTTGTCTTAAGTCTACGTACGTAAGTAAAAATATACCTTATCGATATTTCTTATCATATATGTAAATATAAACTGACAAACGCATAATACGACAGTTTTAGATCTTACAACAACAACTTTGTCTTCTTAAGAAAGAATGAAAGACATATATGTACCTCCTTACAACACGCGAAAATAATAAAAATTCGGTTTGTTCAAAAAATTTACTGACTGGTTCTGGGGAACTCTCTGACGTAAGATGACAGATTTCCCAGCAGTCCTGTCGGCGCGTCATGTGACCGGAAGTGAACCGGAGATGACGTAGTGGTGACGCAGGCCTGCAGAGGCTGACGCACTCCCGGGCAGTCGCTTTCTGAGCATGCGTGCCGGTACAGTTCCTCCCACCGTTTGCTGACGCTCGTTTCCCGCTTCCACTTCGTTCTGTGCAGGGGTGAAAAGAAACAAGGCTGAGGCAATAAAAAACATTGCCAAGGCGACGACTGAAAGATATATATCATTTCATGTGGTGGAGCTAGCAATCTACATTACAATTATCAGAAAAACATATTTCCCTATCTTATAAACACATGCATGTAGTGAAATTTACAGGATGGGTGGAGGAGGTGTGGGGCAATATACCAAATACACGTATAGGAGGAATCAGCCGTTCTTCCCCAGTTATCACATAGATTTTAAGATGACATTCTTACTTACTTTACTTTGGTCGAGTTCCCACTCGAACCAAACTCAAAACCACCCTCCACTCCACTTCACTCTATCCTCCACCAGAGACTGGATTTTATGTCTGATCTGAAGTTGTTACTCCTAGGACTTGTTTGACCTTTTGTGGGTCCCCAAAAAGACGGATAATTTCTTTTCCCTGTGTGATCTGTTTGAATAAACCCACCCCATCGGCCTAAATGTTCTTGGGGAGGGAATGTCAGATTCCTGATCAAGCGGTCTTTGGCCAAAGACAGCTGTGCTCTCTGTCCATGGTGTGGGAAGAAGACTGATGACCAGTAATTAATCATGCCAGGCATCTGGATGGGTGGCACGTGGGCACCCTGTGTAAGTTACCTGCTTGATCCAAAAACCACATGGCTGAAAGTTTCCTCAATACCAATTCCCCGGGGAACGCATTCGTGCAATTTTTGAAATTCTTTCAAAGCGATCGTAGTACTTACACAAATGCCTCCGCCCCAAAGGCGTCGCCAAAAAAAAGTCGGAAATTTCAACCTCTCAACCTCTCAAAAGTATCATGGGGTAGCGTGGCGGCAGAGTGCTTGACACGGAACCAAGAGGTCCCGAGTTCGAATCCTAACATGCCACCGATCCTGTGTCCTTGGGAACGGCACTTTACACGACTTAGGAGGAAAACATCGAAAATTTAATACCTACGGCTACGTCTAAATACATAAGTATTCATAAGTTTTGTGTGTTCGACCTTCAAATCAATCTGCGGTTACATCATCTCTCCTTGCCTTCCTACCAGTGTACTGCATTCAAAAACACAATTTACCGTGCTTTTCGCTACCATGTCTACTCTTTCAATTCCAACCGTTTCTCTGGGGTCGTGTGGCGTAACGGCATAGCGTTCGACTCGCAACCAAGATATCCCGAGTTCGAATCCTGCCACGCCTCACTTTACTCAGGTGAAAATGAGTATGTCTGTTTTCCGTTCATGCGCTTGTCTGCGTTGGTGGCGGCATAAAAATGAGTTGAAGAGCATAAAAATAAGTTGAAGAACTTGAGTGTGCCGTCGCCATGTCTTGTGATAAAAATGTTGGAATAGAAAAAAAAACGCTTCTGAAGCCATGTAGACAGAGGCGACAATTTGCCACTTCGGAACAACTCACAGTGTACAGTTTTTCGCTGCCATTTCTACACGTTCCAGCTGCCTCTAAAGATAGAGCCTACAGTTTTCTGACCTGCGGTTCTGGTACCAGGTCTTGATCTGCGTCTCTGAGAGCCCGAGGGCCCTGGCGACCTCGGCCCGCTCCGCCACGCTCAGGTACTTCTGACAGCGGAACTTCCTCTCCAGGGCCCGCAGCTGAGACTGAACATGGAAGGACGTTAAACCGTCAGGTAAAAGATAGTTTTAATCGACAAATCAACCATTACAACTAGAGAACATATCAACACAGTCACAATCGTCGATTTTCAAGTAAGCTGTGACAGTGTAAGAAACAGGAGGCGCTTACAACAGAACAAGCCTTCAAAAAAGATCTAAGACATGCTTTACGGCATTCACCAGGCCAGCTGAATATCATACGACACATTTAGGATGATCACAAGAATCTATTCTAAGGATCTACGACAAAATTTTCCTTTACAAGAAAGTTCAATTTTCTTGGACACAATTAACGGCCGCTGTTCCAAAAATGCTCCTAAGTTGCTGTCATAAGAGGATACCTCGATGGATGTAACGGGGGATTTATCTATTCATTTCTGTCTTCTATCAGAGTAGTCCAACTCGCATTGCTTTTCAGAGGTGCACTGAGAAGTTAACTTATAGATACATAATCGCAATGCGATCAAAAGAAAATTGATGAACAGAAATAATATCACGCTAAAGAAGCTGGTGTGTCAGGCCGAAGAACGGTTATGTTTTAGGTGCTTTATTTCCTCAATTAACAAACATACAAGTACAGACAGACAAGGATGTAGCTGGTCTTCCTGACATCATACAAATAAACTACATCAAAATTGAACGCGTTCTTTACATACAACTTAACACATAACATTGCATTTATGCTGGCTATTCAGATACAGATAGATACAGATACAATGTACCTGTGTGAAGACGGTCCTCCTGCGGCGCTGTTTGCGGGGTCTGGTCGGCAGGGTGGGCTTCAGGGCGGCGCTGAAGGGTTCCGCCGGCCGCCGGTCCGGTCTGTGCAGGTGGAGCGGGTACTGCGAGCTCCACCGGACGGGCAGGGACGTGTGAGGGGGCGGGGTGGGTTTCCTCTCTGTCGGAGGAAAAGAATGCACAGAAATGAATATTATGGGGTCGTGTGGCGTAACGGCAGAGTAATCGACTCGGAACCAAGAGGTCCCGCGTTTGAGTCCTGACATGCTACCATGCCACCGACCTTGTGCCTTTGGGAAAGGCACTTTACACGACTTTCCCCACTTTACTCATGTGAAAATGAGTATTGCATTGTCCTGTATTCGTCCTCTGCGTTGATAGTGACATAAAATGATATAACTTGAGTGTGCCGTCACCATGCATGTCTAGTCATGAAATGTTAAAATATAAAAAATATTGAAAGCTTTTAGCTTGTAGCTAGCTTGTAGCTACAGAAAAAGTGCAAATCGAAATGTGTGGAATCTTACGTATCCTTCTAAAGGTTAATCTTTTACTACTCGCTTACAAGAGGAAACACGCTAAATACAATGGAAGACAGATTTGGGGTACACTTCTGTATATGTAGACACAGCATTAGCACGAAGTACTGGAACAGATCAAACCCTAGCGTTTCAAAAGGAGTTGAAGCTGAAGATGGTAAGTTGGAGCTAAAGTTGAAAAGTTGAAGCTAAAAGACGGCACGGTACAGAGTTCAGACTTTCTCTCGGCCCGTAAACCACACTTTTAATACTGGCCGGGGTGAAAAGTTCAACTCAGCTCGGCTAGCTTCTGAGACAAAAGTACTACAACATAACGGTGTTTAATGCGACTAACTAGCGGTATATTTCAAACACTAACATTTAACAGTTAATTGGCTTTGTATGTTAATTTGTTTTCACAATCGAGTTATATTTCAATTGTATCATTTGTGACTTCATGTGTTTGGATTATGTTTACTTGTACATTGACTCCTTTGGAAACCAACCCTATTCGGCTGAAGGACTATATTATGTATCCAAGATTGATGAACAAAGAAATAAACAAGAGTTAGAGGTTCACAACTCACTATGGAATAAGCTACCACGTGATTGTTTCCCATATGGGTATACTATAACCTTAAACTTTTCAAGTCTAAGTTTAACAAACATCTGTCCTCACTGGCTGTACAGTAACCCAAAATATTTTCAGTGGCTCTCATGAGCCTTGTTTTGTGGTGAATATGAAGTAAATAAGAAAAAACTAGATTTGATAAGTGATCTCAACTCCTGATGACCTCACCTTCTTCTGCCCGCCTGTCCTTTTCCGGTTCTTCGTCTAAGATATCCTTGATGAGAAAAGACTTCCGTGGTTTGTGTTCCACCGCCATCTTTCAGTCCTTCCAAGAAACGTTCTCATCCAAACTTCTCAAGCACCTCGAGGTCTACTCAAGTCTTCGCCTGCCTCCTTCTGCGTGTCGGAAACGTCTTGTACGCGTTCCTTGGACCCGGGTTGTCTTACCGGAGCCACTTCTTCACCTGTCAAGGCCCGCTTTATTAGAGCCGAGACTGATGGGGAAGCCACGAGAAGGTGACAGCCTTCTCCCGAAGTCTCACGTCTTCACAATTAAGAACGTTAAGAACATTCGCTCGCTCCAAGAAGGAACAGGGTTCACGGAACACGGGATACGGTCTCTCTAGAAGTTGAACTCGGGAAGCGACACGACCGCTAGGACCTGGTGAAAAAATTGAATGAGGTTTCCAAGCCCTAAAAACTGCACTGGATGCTTTTTAGAACGTTAAGAACAAATCGCTCGCTCCAAGAAGGAACAGGGTCCACGGAACACGGGATATGGTCTCACTACAAAGCTGAACCCAGGAAGCGACGCGACCGCTAGGACCTCGTCTCTCACACGTTGACTGTACCGTGCAAGTCGGATACAGGCAGTATCCTCGCGATACCGCCTCAGGCACGTGTAGATATCGAGTTATCGCTCACAAATTGACGCATCAGATCAAATCAGGTACAAAACTGTAGCCACGAAGATATTTTTCTTGGAGGACGAATTTCAAGAAAACGAAGCTCGCGTTCTTCGTAGGGTGACTGTAGTGTAATAGAGCGAGCGGAGACTGGAACATTTTTGTGTAGAGGGTCTCTACCGTCTAACAAGTCGTCCTCGCAAACCCCACATGTGGGCCTAGTTAGCGGCTCTGTTCCCGACGCAATTTACGACCGGCCCCGGAGGGTCGTAATTAAGTCTGTATGGGCGGGGAGAGAGCGGGAAGGGGTCGGGCCGAATTATCAGCCGGGGTTCCGTGATGGGGACCTGGTCGAACCTTCAAGCAGACGTTTTAAGCCCCTGTCACACGTTTAGGACATTCCCTCGACCACCGGTACCAGCCGACCAAGGTTGGCTCAAGTTCAGGAGTTCGGTAGCAAATTTAAGCCATGTCTACCTTTCTATACAAATTGAATCGAATCTGAGTTAACTTTGAGTCAAATTCGACCCACGACCACTGCCGACCTACTCCCGAACACAAGCCAACCGTCAGCCAACCATGACCGGCCCCGGAGGGTCGTAATTAAGTCTGTATGGGCGGGGAGAGAGCGGGAAGGGGTCGGGCCGAATTATCAGCCGGGGTTCCGTGACATGATGGGGACCTGGTCGAGTCGAACGTCCAAGCAGACGTAAGGTCAGAACATTTCCCCGACCACCAGCCGACCAAGGTTGGCTGAAGTTCAGGAGCAGTCTGACCAGATTTAAGCTCCCGCTAACCACCACTAGGAAGACGTAGAAAACGCAGCGTAGAACTGTGAACCGGACCTCATATCTGCTTGGAGATTACTGGTCGGGATGGATGCGGAATCATCTCCAAGAAGATATGCGACTCCGGCTTGATGTTGTGTATAGTCAAAGTGAGCATTCGAGGGGCTTAAGCCCTTACATTAGACATGTAGACATTACATACAGGATTCTGAAAGTTTGAGTCAATACGGAAAATATTCTAAGAGACTCCTAAAGTTGCCAGGTGGTTAGGTGGTTCATGCAGATGTGGGGTCATGTGGTCGCTAGTGAAAGTTGGAATGCAACGTTGACATTACTTCCTTCTGTGTGTCCCTCTAGTTGCGCAATTTTTTGATTGAGACGCTAAATGTGCCCCTTACCTCCGAATATAGACTCTGCGAAAAAAAAAAAACTACAGAAAGCTAATAATTGTGCTTGTAGATGCGGCATTTTAGTCGAACTGACGCGATTTAACAGGGGACAGGTCCGACAATTCTCCCCGTCCACCACGCGGAGTGATTTAGCAGGTACGGAAAGAAGTCCGAGAGGATGAGAGGAACCAGACTCACCCCGGCACGAGCGGGGACGTCGTTACCTCTTACTCACTAATCTGCAGGAATAAAGACCCAGAACCATGCTCAGGTACGGTCCTGGATAGTCCAATCGTATCCAGAACCATGCTCAGGTAAGGTTCTGGATAGTCCAACCGTACCCAGAACCGTGCTCAGGTACGGTCCTGGATAGTCCAACCGTATCCAGAACCATGCTCAGGTACGGTCCTGGATAGTCCAACCGTATCCAGAACCGTGCTCAGGTACGGTCCTGGATAGTCCAACCGTATCCAGAACCGTGCTTTATCCAGAACCATGGCCCTGGATTTAAAATGAATTGAAATTAATAAACGAATAAATTAATGATTTAAAATGAATAAATGAATTGAAATTGATAGCTCAGTGTACGATCAAGGGCATGACATCAGTCCTCTAGATAAAAAACGTTCCTTCAGTCCCCCACTCTACACCAATTTCTTAATTTTTTCCTTACTCCAAACTAACTTGACACATATAATTATGATGTGGTATATATTTCTCTCCATGCGTCCACCGTAGTCTATATTGTGTTCCGCACATCTTTCCCCATCCGGATCGGTCTATTTTATTCTCCCCTCCGTGATGACGTAATCCCACCTTTCCAGCTCTCTTCTATTCATTGCGTTGATGAAAACGCGTGTAAAGACTAAATCCGCTAAACTCCGACCCTGACATTTAGCGAAGCCAGCAGCACGTGTGTACATGTACATGTACAGGTCAGTCTTGGCACGCGTGATAAACACGTTAGTTAACACAAGCAAAGGACGAGACGACCAGCCGCTCTTTGTTCCCAACCGCCTCGTTTGCCGCTCGCCTTGGTGACGGGTATTCAGGATAACGAGAGATGCACCTTGTTGTATCTAATCTCCAAGCAGATTTGGTGGGGGCAGGTGGACTTACATTTTCTATTGTACAAAAAAAAAAGCGAGAAGAAGTTGACCACTCTGTATTAGCTCAGTAACTAGAACACTTTAGTATAGTACCCTTGCATGTTCCTTATGTATGTATGTCTAAGTCAAGTAGTGTATCTTTTGTCTCCACTCTCCACTTTTCTATGTCTGTTACGTCTTGACCTGTACCTATCTCGTCGTGCTATGAATGTACAATAAAGGTATTTCATTTCATTTCTTAATCTTGGCCGTCTATGTCCATCGTCCTTGCCCCACCGAATCTGCTTGGAGATTAGTTGTATCCAGAATTCTAGAACCGTGCTTTGCCAAGAACCATGCTCAGGCACGGCCCTGGATAGTCCTCGAGTATCCAGAACCATGTTTTATCCAGAACCATGATCAGGTACTGTCCTGGACGAGTATCCAGAACCATGCTGTATCTAGAACTATGCACAGACATGGTCCTGACTAGTCTACGCCTATGAGAACCATGCTTTATCCAGGACCATACTTAGGCACGGCACTGGATAGTCCACACGTATCCAGAACCGTGCCTGGGACAAATCTACGTTCTTGGATATGCAGAGACTATACAGAACCGTGCCTGATCGTAACTATAACTCACCCAGGCATAGAACTCGATCAATGATAAAATGTCACCTTAAATGATGACAAACACATTTACCTACAGTTAAGTAAGCATGTAATTACAGTACTTCAAAATACGTGATGCAGAATGTATTGTCATGCAAACTGTGACAGCCAGTTATACAACTTCCTTCTTTAGAATGGTGTATTTTCTGTGTCAATGAACTGAACGTCTTGCAATAAACTCCTGAGAGTGAACACTGCCCGCCAGTACCCACGCACAAGCTACTAACGTTACGTCTGTTGAAATATTTGATAACGTTCCAAGTCGAAGACGTTACTGAAATAGATATTCACATCCATCTTCAAAATTGGAGATGGTTATATTAAGTACACTTCATAAATATCACGCAATCTTTATGAACTATGAACTACAGTTTATATCTATGAAGCATTCTTAAATATCACGTCATAACAATTTGTTACATCAGTGAATCATTACCTTGAACTTCACCTCTATCTGTCAAGTTCATATGGAAACAAGTAAGTATTGACGTAGATTCATAACATATGATTATGATCATATCCATATTGCCCTGTTCATCCTGTCACGGTTTCTAGTTAACTGTAAACGCAAGGCGTTTTCTTCCTTGGTCCCTTTCCTTTCTTCCATTCATTTCTTTCCTCCCTCCCTCCATTCCATCCTTCCTTTTCTCTAGTTTTCTTTCTTGCATACTCCGGAGGTAGCCTGGATGCCAGACTGTTTCGTTGGGTGCATGTTGGCCCTGAAGCTGAAGAGCTGGCCTGTATAGGCCCTGGAATCAGCCTCGCATCCAGGTTTCTCCGGAGGCTGATATTGTTTACAGAACCCAGACACCCCGCACTAGTACTTCTGAATCCAGAGTAGCCTGGATGCCAGACTGTATTATTGGGGGCATGTTGGCCCTGGAGCTGAGGAGCTGGCATGGGTATACCCTGGACCCGTGGAGCTGCTGTATGTGCGCCCTTGAAACAGTCTGGCACCCAGGCTAGTCCGGCTGCGTAGGCCGATACTGTTTACGAGACCCGGACACCCCGTACTGCCCACTCCACAGGTGGTCCCGGGAAAACGTTACAGCTCTGGTGTCGGCTGGCAGGCTTATTAAAGCGGGCTAAAGACCCGGGATCAAACTGTCAGCTTCAATGGAGGCTGACGGAGTCAACCAACTGTGGGAGGGGGGGAGGGGTCAGCGGCGGGGCAGGGTGTTCTACAGGTCAGCACGTGTACTTTGCTACATTTCTACAAACTTGTCACATTCGTCGTTCGACAGGTTTGCGACAACAAAGTGAGGGAATGGAACATTCAGAGTTCCTGATCGAACACCAAAAGCCTCGCCCCTTGTTCTATTTCGAACTCGTCGAACCCGCCGTTCTACTGTTCTATTTCGAACTCGTCAAACCCGCCGTTCTACTGTTCTATTTCGAACCCACCGTTCTGCTGTTCTATGTCGAACTCGTCGAACCTCCTGTTCTGCTGTATTTCGAACCCGCCGAACCC